GATGTAACACAAGTATTAATTTTATAGAATAAACTAATACTAGTATAAATGAAATATGCAAATCAAAGTTGAATAAAATTAATAATAAGTCGTTGTTAAAACATCAAAAATGTCTAACTTTTTATTAGATTTGACCGTTACTATAAATATTAATAATAGTATGCTATACCCAATTAAAATGTTGCATTATAATGTCACTACACAGTACACATCGGCCTTACAATCATTTAACAGAGGCGTCTCGAACACAATAACTGTGACTAGCGACCGTGCTCTGCAACGTTACAATAAGACCGGTAGATAAATAAATAAGTACAAAAAGTTGTTTCAAAAATAACCCCCTTATAGAGCCAAGCAGCTGCGCAGGCTCAAGGCAAACCGCCCGCTTCTTTTAGGCCATGTTTTGCAACGTAAGTTGTGATTTTTTTCTTTTTTCTAGAGTTACTAGAGCTTCGAAATAAAGTTTAAGTGCATTCCCTTTATGGAATACGTGATTGGCATTTCAGAGTTTAAGAACAGAGATATTTAGCTATAAGCGCAGGTACCTAATACTTTTAATTTTTTTTTACTACTATGGTGGCAAATCATGAATTACCCCTGACCGCCGTGTGTCTTATTATGAGAACCCGAACCTTGCACTGCAATGATGTTATGGAACTAATAAACAAACAATTACATTAATTAAGTATATTGTCTATACAAGCATAACAAAAAGAATCATCAAAATGCATTTAAAACATAATTAGCGAAGTTACTTTTTAAGCTACGCAATTAGTAGTAATTGCGTAGTGTACACTTAATATTTATTATAAATATAGTAAGTCGAGCCTTACCGCGTGTATATTAAGATATTTGTTTTCCTGTCTCTCTCCAATAAAATATCACGGCAATACACCATAATACCATACAGACTGTGTCGTGAAGGATCATTTGTTGAACAATCTAGTAACGGTAGTTGAACAAACCGCTAACACCTACCGACATTGACATCACTGTACTTCAGTCAGCCCGTAACTATAGTGCAAACACGTCGAAACTTCGAGAGAAGTAAATAACTTATTAACTACAAAATTATTCGAGTTAAAATCCTATTAAGTATATTAATAATTGCGAAATTATCGTATAAACATTCGTACAAAAAATACAATCGTGTTGCGAATATCATTCATGTTTAAGTCAGTTAAAAACGACTTGGAGGTTGTGGCAGTCTGCTTATACTTGATACGAGTTTTATTTATTTCACAATGGAAGATGGCCACGCAATTTATTTTATCCATGCACCTGCTTTTAATATGCTATCACATTCTTTCATTATTATAATTGTGCAAAGATCTTTTTCTACCATATAAAATTTATCTTTAATTGATATGATATTGCAGAATATATATGCGTAAGATAAAAAAAAATATAATAACGAATATATTTTATTTCGAATGCTTCAATATTGAATTCATAAGCTGTTTTAGTAAAATTTTTCCTTATTTTCTTGACATACATAAACCAGGAAATTTCAAATGTAATGTAATGTAAATAAAGAAAAACATGCTCTCGATGTCCTAAATATCTTCTTAAAATTACTGAGTAATAAGTAAGTAGGTTTATATAAAATAAGGGCATATATCCTTACGACTATATACCCTGATGAGGTAATCAGAGGTTTTATCAATTATCGCCATTGTGATAAATAATTGTCATTTCTATATTTTAGTGATATAAAATGATATTTAATAAAAAGCGTAATAACTATTTCTAGACATGAGTAATTTATCCCTTCTATCAATTATCTATGACTATAAATGTGTAATACAGGGCTACATGACAAGATAATAACTACCATAAAATAAACAGTGGGCACATTAATTAAACGATGATGTTTTAATTTTCTAATAACTTGTCTTGACAAATGACCTCGATATTTGAAATATTTATTTAATCTATATTGTAATAGGAATATGTTTGTTAATTTTCAAAATTAAGATACCTTTCTATCTTTATAATTAATTATTCTAACGTAATAGATCGTTAATAGATCCTTATGTTTCTATATTGCTCATTCCTGATCTTGCTCACATTTTTGTATAACCATCTTTACTTTGTAGTGTTGCAAGTGCCATTTAATGTTTCGGCTAATGTATATCGACATGTCATTACACGATAACATTTATAGAATTTAGTAATTAAGTTTATTTTTTTATACCACAATGACAGCAAACGAGCTCATGATCCTTTGATGGTAAATAGTTACCGTAACCTCCGAAGTTGAATTGATTTAAGGAGCTCTTTGAAACCAAATTCGTATTACAACTTATAATATCTAATCAATACCTAAACTTAAAACCCCTGTTCATATATAATTAATTACAATTAGTTAATTATACAGGAACAGAGGTTTCATAAAAAGTATAAATCATTTACATTATAGGCAAATGAAATATATCCACTGTTTCGTTCCTTATGGCACTAAGAGTAAACATTTAAATGTTGTGTAATATGAGAAAAGTAAATCTATTTAAGTAATCTATTTTGTTTCAAATTGGAGATATTGTTCCACCAAAAAGAAAACAGATCATCGTTTCCCAGTAGAATTACTCAAAAACATTGGCGCCAGTGATCTCTATTGACTATTTGAGCATAGATTAAGTTACGATAAATAAAATAACAGACGTTTTAAACATTTTATTGAAAACAATCTTAATTTATATTAGATTCCACTACCGGCTATTATCAGTAACGGATACACTAATGATAAAGTTTTATTACAGAATAAAAGTAATCTTAAATCTATTTACTTAGGTAGAGAAGTACGCAATAAAAAAATATTTCCGCTGGAATTTTAACAACTGAGAATAGAGGTGTCATGGCGCAGACTATTTTAAATCAATGAAGTAAATTTAGAGTTGCAATATCATGTTAGGTTTTATATTTATATACTAAATATTTAGCTTCACCTAACCCTATACAGATTTGGTGCTCTGGAGTCAACATTACAGAATTACAAAAATCTATTTTTAATAACGTTTTGTTCATTGAAAACTAACTAATCTTGGTTTTTGCTTTGTCTGTGTTTATAGGTAACCTATGAATATTCCAACTTACCTCTTCGTCGGTACCTATATTCAACACGAAAACTGAACAAGTCTTTTATCTATGTAAATATTTTAATTTTTTTAAACCATTACTTGTATCTCTTTGCCTTTTTATTTTTATTTATATGGTACACTAATATAACTGGTACATATTGTACATAGGAAACTACCTATAACAAATGTGAAAGTTTGGAAAGTTGTCTGTTTCAATGACACATAATAGTCGAATCAAAATGTAGTAAACTGATGGAACACATAGATAAAAGATTGTTTCTTAACCTAATTCACATAAATAAAGCAAGTACGTATTAACTCATAGCATTATAAACAGGCCATAAATATAGGTCGCAGATGTAAATAGTTACAGATAATAAGAATGTTTCAAAGGAAATAATAGGTACAACGTGAGAGCTTTAAAATAGAGCCCGTTGCCTGCCGTACAATTTATAGCCGTGTATTTGTCATGCCATTTTCCATTTTCTAGAGCGAACGCAGAGGCAAATAGATTTTATTACAACAATTAGATCTGTGATGACAATTAATTTAAATGTTCTGATTGTTACTTTGTATAACGAAATTAATTTATCTACTCTTATACCGATTTAGTTTTCTTTTATATTTATATGATATTTAGTATATTATTTTTATATAGTTTTTAAGAAATCATCGAATAAAGGTATAACTTCAGTAAGTACTAGAACTTCACCAAGAATATGTAGAAGCAGAAGTGTACCACACTCCTGTTTCAGTACGTCGTACGGATAGAGCGCTGCGAAAGATATATAGTACATGCATTACTAACATTACAGTGTAAGCCAATCTGCAAATAACGGTATTACTACTTCACTAGCGCCACGCGGCAATAACTAAAACCAACATTAATGCGTTCAACTTTTTTATTTGCTGTAACTTATTGCACTAATTGACCATGCGTTAGTTATTGATCTTATTATATTCTATAGATTACTGTGTGAATTTACACTACTTAGAACGAGATCATTGGACAGCATTTAGGTAACTTTTTTGTGAATTCTCATGTAATCTTGCACTACACTGAAACTATAAACTACCGCGACACCAGTAACATATGAAAAATGAAATTAGGTCAACATAGTAAATTGCGTGGAATACGAGTGACTTTTCTCGTAATTATTAGAATTGTCCATTAAAGGCTTCATCCCTTTGTATTCAACATGTAATATTATATTTTTGATACGTAGTTATTTGTAAGATATATACAGAGTTATATATATATGTACTAAATGTGATTTAAATATGATACGATAAGAATAGTATACGATCATTTCTTTCTTAATTTGATTAAATTATACATCCGTTTTAGGTGGAACTTTTTGTCTCTTATTATACAAATATCTTTTTTTATATATACGAGTATGTTCTCGGCCTAAAAATATTTAACAAAATATGTCGCTATTAAAAACACAGTCTATTTACGCAATCGGAAGTGGTGGAGACCGCAAACTTTATCGCAACATGCATGCTAGTTATGGTGCGGCGCGTCGCGCACCTCCCACCGTTTCATTCTTGCACACACGAATTTGTTGCTAACCACATCCTGCAATCTTTTATTTTATTTATATCTAACACTAAACAAAGAATTCCTATATACAAGTTAAAAGTCCTGCCGCAAAACAAACCTATATAAGACGATGTCCAAACATTTTATTTGTTTCATTTTCTTTCATTATAAATTTCTCCTAACTTGTTAGGATTAACAATAACAATAGTTTTTATATTCCTATATTGCTTAATTTAACATTTTTAACTTGCTATATTGCGATTTTATCTGGGTCCTAAGAAACCGACTGAAGTTCTTTTCAATGTTCAAAGCAATTAAGTTTCACGTTACGAAATCTTTCATGCGTTGACTTGAAAACTTTTGTATTGTTGCAGGATATTACCAGCCAGCGGGTCCGCTGATCAAAGAGAGCGGTGCAGAAGCAGAACGCGCGCTGGCGCGGTATCATCCCCCACCACATTATCATGCTCCGCATCCCCCCGTAAGTACTCTTTACATACTTTACACACGAATTCACTCGCTGTCTAATTTTAAAAGAAATTGCAGTAAATACTTACCTACTCTATCGCAATACATATAATAGCTCGCGTTATTACTTCGTTTTCGTTAGCATTTCTTTTGACACATTTTTACTCGGCTCTTAAAGGTTGTAGGATCATGTTAATGATAGGATATAGATAGAGACAGTGTCAACTATCAATGTTGTGATGAGCTCACTTAACATGGGCACATTTTGCTGGGAATATTGTTTTAAATCTACCTACCTATTATATTATAACAGTAGTAGTTACACAAATATCATTTTATAGCGTATTTGCGATTATCAATATGTAAATGTGTTCATGATTGACCGATAAAAAATAATTAATGAAAAGCGTAACCCAATTTATAAAAAAAAACACAAATCGTTAAGTAATCTTGAATACATGGTATTCAATAATACAACTAACCATAAGAATTCATGAACGTTCCTTGCAAATAAGAAAGGAATGTAAGCATGGTAGCACCACATTGAGTAACCGACATAGTAGGTTTCACAATATGTATTATACAATGTCTAATCTGCATGGTTCTGGTAATTGTATTGGGTTGGTATTGATTGCCAATCACAAAATATGCCACATTATTAGATCATATTTAAATACCATTTGTAATATATAACATTTTCTACAATTGGTATTCATTTTTTGGCATTATGTTTATTTATTTAATATTCTAATCTATATTCTAATCTCTATTTAAAGGTACTACAACAGTACGGTCCGCCGTACTACCCCGCGGAGCTATGCTACAGCCGGTATTACAGACCACCCGGCCCATACCACATACCACCTCCACAGCCAGACGCCCAGGTTACCTTACATTTAATTTTTTTTTCGCTTTTCTGACATATAGCATAGTACAATTATTACATAATAGAAATTAAAAATAATATACATAAAATTAGATATACTCGATATATCAAGAATTAATATATTAGAATTAGATATATCAAGGGTATAACGATAAAACTAACTTATTTTTATTATATATGTTATTTGAACATCTCTCTAGAAAAATTCTCGAGATAGCAAATGTTTGCTCTATTTTCAGATGGTAGGCGTTGGCAATGAGCCGTATCCTCCAGCACAGTATTATGGGACACCACCGTGTTATCAGCACTCACCGCAGAGAATACCATATGTGGGTGAGTATTAAACGTTACAAGTAATATACTATATGAAGTATAGCATCTAGAAAGAATTAAGAAGACAAAGATTAAAAAAAAAGGAAGTGCTTGAGGAGTGAGAGAATTGAATCAAGGTTACAATGCAAATTGTTATAAAATACACGCTGTGCCAAAATGTCCTATAGTATGATAATGAGGATGCTTATATACTATAGTTTATCCATTACGATGCACGTAAAATAATTAACAAAATCTATTCCGTTATTTTAGAATACCGTCAATGTCCCTGCCCACTAAACACGTGTCCAAAAAACGTCCTTATTGGGCCCGCTACTGGTAAAGCCCCTACCGGTGGCGGCCCCGCGGACGTACCCTCCGCGCTCGCGCCGCCCGGGGGCGCCTTCAGAGCGAAGGTGCGGGCGTGCGCCCTCGACGCCGGCGCAGTGCCTGACACACTCGCACACGGCAGTGGCAAGGTAAACAAACACTCATCTACATCTCCACAGTTTGATCAGAACTCTTACAGTTTCATCATTCAATCTAAAACAAACTAACAGAAATAACTTAATAATCCGGTGAAATGCAGTCAAGTTGTTAGAAATTAACAAATAAGTAGATTAACAAAAAAATTATTCTCAAAATCTCCGGTATTTCTATTTGCACTACGCAGCTGTACATAACTTGAAGTTATATTTAATTCTCTTTCCAAACACATTTCTGTTTGTTGTAACTTTGAATACATGCCGACTGAACATTCTATTCTATTCAATTCAATTCAGTCTAATTATAACCTATATGGAGACTTTTTGGCATTTATATATTATATACTCGTCTATGTGATATATATGAATTTTGCTTATCTAATTATTACTAGTCAGGTAGGTGTCACGTATAAAACACATTTAACACACATTTTAACATTCCTCCATACTAAAAATATAAACTTTTAAATTATTAATTGATGTCCAGGATCCACCATTAGAAGCCGAGCCGCCTGCAGCTGCCGACGCACCACGTCCGTGTCCACTACCAGCAATGGGCGGCGCGTCGCCAAAACGCGAAATATTTGATGCGCATGACAAACTCCGCCGCGCCGGGGACATGCCTGCGCTGGGCCCGCCCTCGCCTGCACGGGGCTCCGCCGGCGTCTGTGCCCCACAACCACCCCCTGTGGCTCCTCGGCGTGCGCGATTAGGCAAAGAAATGGCCCGCCGGTCACTCGCCGGCGATGACACTGGCCTTCTCCTCTCCGCTCCGCTCGCGCCCAGCGCACACCATAGCGACGCTGATGACGATGTCCTCGCCATCTCACCGCCAGTATGTGCTCCTATTGATCTCTCCTCGTCAGATGAGAGATCCACGCCACTCGTAGACGTGAAGAAAGAAAATGAGGGTCCGACAAACACGCCACCCAGAAAACCTGACGCGCAGGCACTGAGGGAACACAACTGCACCACAAATTCTGATACAATCGATACTAACGATGCAGCGAAAGCGGTGAAGCGCAGACATTCAAAGCCGAAGCTAGAAATCGATATGAAAGACACGCAGCTCGAAGACGGTTGTAAAACTAATGGTATCGGCGAACACGTGAAGTTACAGAAGCGCAGGAAAGTGTCAGGGGAACAAACTGAAATTCGGCCGGAGACAGTGACGAAAGAACCAAGAAAAAGAGCATCACCAATTAAAAGGTTATCCAAATCTGTTGAAAAGAAAACACTAAAAAGAAAATTAGATAGTGCTCCAAGTGAATCTCGCTCAAAGAAAGCCCATGTAGAATCTATAAATGAAGATCCACGCCTAAAAAATGTAGCAGCAATAGCTGAAGAATCAATACTTATAAAACCCAAAACTAAAAGTGCACTTCTTTTAGACAAGCTCTTGAGGAAAAACAGCATTGATAGGGCCGATGCAAAGGGATACGGTTCCGATACGGAGTTAAATCCAGCGGAATTATTTCTGTCGCCCAACGAAAATATTGCGCAGAATTGTGCGAAGAAAACGTTAAACATAAATAACAACGTCGTTGATAACAATAATGCAATCAACAGTGTTCGGCCTAATGCAATAGCTGCCGTAAGCCAATTACCAGGGAAGAAATTACCCTACAAGAACAGCTGTAAACTTGATAAAGTAGATTCCAAGATCACGCATAATTTAAAATCAGTATTAAAAACGCCTACCGTGAAATCGCCTCTTAAAGAGGAACGGAGTATGACAGTAAAAGAGAAGCAATCAGATAAAGTTTGCGTTCAGGCTCTTACAGATAAGAACGATGCGTTAAATGTTGAAACTTCATCTAATAAAAACGGTGATCCTAAATCTGCGACAGACAAATGTTCAAAAATAACAAAACTTTCAAAATCATCTAAAATAAAGGAGACCATCACGAAAGCTACCGAAGTAGAGGAGCTCGGACGAGCTGTGATACCAATGGGGGTGGCAGAGAAACGGAGAAGCGACGCGACTCCTGCAGAGCGGTGCGGTGAACTCGCCGAATGTACCTCGACGAAGCCGGAGCGGCCGGCGAAGCCTGAACGGCCGGCGAAGCGATGCAAGCTAAGCGTGGAGCAAAAGGGAAAGAACGTAGAGAAGGTGGTCAAACTGCTGGTGTCGAAGAGGCCAGCAATAAAGACAGACGACGCGGTGCTGGTGACAGAGGACGCGTGCTCATCGCCGATGCCGGGAAGCGTGGGACGTAGGCGGCGGCGGCGGCCCAGCTCGGCGGCGCGCGCCAACCGCCGCCCGGCCGGACACCCCGCGCGCATTCCGCGCCGCCCCATGCCGCCCCTCGCACCGCCCGCGCTCGAGCCCCGCACCACACCGCGCTGGAGCAACGGCTGGAGCTTTGACGGAGAACACTATATTTCCAAAGTCTACCTCAACGTAAGTTTACCTTTTTATTAGTAGTAGTATTTTATTGATTAGACAAATGTGAACTTAAGATGTAAAACTGTGTGTGAATGTATTTAGTATGTATTAGAACAGGGAACAGTAGCGCATTATCCAAATCGTAAAAACGGTGCTAATATGAGTAAAGGTCTAACCTAGAGAACCCTAGCAAAAAAACATAACAATTAACAGGATAGGGATAAGAGTCGATACTAATTCTTTTGATCAGTATCGAAGAACCGTTTTCAACAGGCTGACACAATAATGGGGAACCCTCATCGCGCAATAATTAGTGTGACAGTGTTCCAAAAATAGCCTACGTTCAGAAAGCGTCTAACAATTATTTTCGTAGGTGCTGGCATCTGTGCAAAGTCGCTTCAAACATTTGGTTTTAAATGGTGCTACAAGTGTGATATGTTTACAATCTATATAAGATTTTGGACGTTTTTTAACGATCACGACATACTTCCTACTATATATACAAGTGTATATGAGAACTTCATACACTAGCATTTAAAATATCGTTCTTTAATTACTTTACATAAACGGCGATACACTAATAATATGCCAGATATATATTTTGTATATTGCAAATAATAATCAATTTAGGAAGTAATTAATAGACTCTATTGATTATACTTATTAAATTGTGACGGAAATAATGACAACGAATGAACGTGAAAATGAATCCAAAGTGACCACCTATATTGAAATTAGCCAAATAAAATATACAATAAATTTAAATATAATAAATTACAAATTGTTTAAAGAGTGTAATAATTTCATAGATGACTCATTCCATATTTTCAATAGCCATATTTACGACTAAATGAAATTTAAGCCTGTTGTAGCGTCTGCATAGTTCCTATAGTCTTTGCAGTCAATATTTTTTTTTCTAATAAATTAAATTTTTCCTTTCGTTTATGCTTTCGGGTATTTTTGATATATATTATAATTAATAGTTAGTATATAGGGACATGCTCTAAAATTTTTATTACTTTTAAAATTAAAATACAATAAATGCTTAATAATATGTGGCTATCAATACATAGATCGAAGGAAAAGTCAATTTTTGATTTTTGAAAATATGGTTTACAACATTTAAAATAGCTTTATGTTTAGATATGTGTTATAAAAATAAAATATTTGATGGTGTACTATAGAATGACTCGCGGCTGGACCGCGCGGCGCGGTGCTGGTCGCGCATGTCGCACGCGAGTGGCGACCGCGTATCGCGCGGCGACTGCGTGTTGTTGCGGGCGTCTGTCGCGCGCGCTCAGCCCTTCGTCGCACGCGTCGCTAGCCTCTGGGAGAACCCCGACGACGGTCAGTACTTACCATACACATGTTACGTATGTAGCCTATTGTGTATAAAGGCGGAGTCGCGGGCACAGCTGAAATTATATATAATTTCAGCTGTGCCCGCGGCTTCGCCCGCTTGTTTTTTAGCCTATTTGTTATTCTGATGTATAAGCTACTTAAAATTTATATTATATTACTGTAAAGTTTCATCAAAATCCGTTCAGTAGTTTTTGCAAAAAAGAGTAACAAACATCCATCCATACTAACAAAGTTTTGCATTTTTAATAAGATTAAATACCCATATACATAAAGGGTTAGTCGGAAATAATATAGGTACTACGCCGCTAGCACTATAACGTATAACTAATAACTGATCCCACGTGATATTCTTTCCGAAAGCGATTTTTTATTTTATAGAAATATAAATATGTATTATTTATTATACAATTTATAGAAATGATAATAAAAGTGATATTATGTACTGCAGGCGAGATGATGGTGTCCCTGGTGTGGTATTACCGGCCCGAGCACACTGAACACGGAAGGCAGCCGGCCGACGCGCCCGACGAGGTGTTCGCATCCCGCCACCGTGACGCCAACTCCGTCGCCTGCATCGAGGACAAGTGCTACGTGCTCAGATACAACGAGTATTGTCGGTCAGTTCACACTACTGTTTACTTATTTCTTTTTTAAGTCTTCTTTAATCTCCTAGTATAATAGTTGTTGTAACAATATTATCGGCTCGTTAACCAATGCTCCACGTCTTAAATCCACGGCGTCTTCCCCTCCGATCCGAACCTTTGCCCAATTCAAACGTGGTTCGAAATTACGACGCCCTGAGCCGAGGTTCGAACCCAGCGTTTAACCAACCAGGTTTCCAGAAACAAATGGAAAAGTTTTCAATCTAATTAATAACGTAACTATTATCCAACAGGTACAGGAAAAGGCTAAAAGCAGCGGAAGAGGGCATCACGTTGCCGCCATCTATTGTGCCACCGATGCCAGCCAGCGAGGTCAGCCCTGCGCTTGCGCCCAATGACTCCAAGTTACCACTCTCCGTCTCCTCGGAACTTGTACTCTTCTGCCGCAAGGTCTACGACTTCCGCTCCAAGAAGATATACGTCCCCAACAAATGAACCACGCGCAGCAAACGTGTGGTTACTATCGCCGGATCTCTACTGATCTTTTTGGAGCCAGGTGTGCGCTCGGACCTCGGTGGGTGCGCAACTATTGTATAAGTATTACGAATCGGCTAAAAGGAGTGAACACCAAAGTTACGTTATGAAGTTCAATACTTATTTGTCTACGGTACTGCGGTACTTCATGATACGTGGACAGAAATGTTTGATCGCGAGCTAACCGAGCGGCATATGGGAATGTTTGAATGGTGACTCGGTTATTCCTAATCGTAGTGTATCTCCCCCAAACCTTTAAATTAGTACAAAGAAATACGTTCCCGGGTGCAAAACGTAGAATGTGTGACCTGTGACAATTTTATGTGGAAACTAAGTAAATCGTTGTGTTTAGTGATCGCCGATTGGTCCTATTACGTTGCTTGTGTCGTGATTTTATAGTAGATATTCCTTTTTTAAGATTTTACAGTGATTTGCTGTTTAATTTTTATTTTATGGACGAATATTTTTTACAAAGGATGCCTTTTATAATGATTAAGTAGTTGTAAGAAAATCATGAATGGTAATGATACACAATTATGTATAGCAATATACATATTTGTTTTTTTTCTATGGGATTAGCTACATTCTATCTCATTTTTAGAGAAGCAATGCGAATGCGTGAGTTGAGAATCAATGTAATGAACACCTGGTTACTTTTTGTATGACAGGAAATTTTATTTAAACATTAAGTTTCTGTTCGGCTACACGAGAAAAGGCATTTATAATTACGATTATTTTTAATTAATTGTTACATTGTTGTCAAAGGAGAGTCTATATTAAATTATTCTTTTATATTATTAAAAGTATTAAGAATGTCATCGGTCTGTAATGTAGAAGTGGGCCTCATGTGTAATTAGTTTTATTTCTATACAAAATAATCAGGATAATTCTGTTAATTGATGTTAATATTTTAATAACATCACAAGGGTTTTCCTTATACATTAATAGAATAATCATTTGAAAGTCCCACTGAAATGAATATGACCTCTGTCTACAAGTAAGGATACTCTATTAGTAGTACTTATGCTTTCAGTCAATGTAATAACAACTGTAGACTTTTGAACGTTTTATGAATGAGATATTGTATACGTATAATATGATGAAAATGAAGTTGAACTATAACCTGCCTTCGAAGGAATTGATTTATTTTGGCCATGTATTACAAAATTTTTAAATTTTTTCATATGATGTCGCAGTGGATACATTGGGAAGACTGATTTTGCGAAGGTGGTGCAGTTTTAAGTTAATTTTATTATTACACAGTCAATTCCGAGACAACTATGTTTGTTTATCTACGTTCACATAATCAGTCGTCAACCAATATTTTACATTATTGAAATATAACAAGTGGGAACATTGTAACATATTTTAAATGTAATATTAGTGCATAGATGTAAACAAAAAAAACACGTCGGTGTTGGATGAAAAGAGATATATTGTATGACTGTCATAGTGAAATCTCTTTATCATTAGAAACATAATTTTAAGTAGTGCAGAAAAATTAATAAAGAATATATATTTAACGTTATAATTCCCGCGTGGAAGATTGTAAAGGGCATTTATACGTTTGCAACTTGTGTATTTCTCTTTCTATCCTTATTGTTTCTTATAATGTATCTTTGTATTATTGTTTGTCTGTCGGTTAAAATGTTAATATTTTGTTGTACATAGACTTCTTAATTTATTTATAAGACTTGCTCTTTATTATGACTAGTGAGATCTACAGAAACATGTGTTATAAAATAACATACATGCTCATTTTAATATCTAAATAATAACAAAAGGAAACATCTTCGCCTCATTACCTAATTAACCCTCGTAATCAATTTATGTTAAACATCCAAGCGTTTGTAAAAATTCGGAACTTGTGGAGGAGACTTGCCACTCGTATGAACGTACTTTAACAATTTCTAAGAATACAATACGAACAATTCTCACCAGATGATAATGATGTTACTAGATAGTCAACTCCAATAAATATCCAAAACCGGAATTCGTTAAACATATTTATCACAGAACTACACGGTTTAAAGTATCTGTTTTAACTTAACTCGCCTTTCTTCTATGCAACTAAAAATGTAGGGTCCGTAAATCCATTTACTTTATAAATTTTTCAAATCTATAAATCTGTAACATATAAACATTGAAATTCATTATTAAAGAATAGATCAGAAGAATTACTCCACAAGGGATTCGAATCTCGTAAAACTGGCGGATGGATTTGTACAAAATTTACAATCTCTTATTAAATCCTAAGAATTATATATACTTGGCTTACTGTTGGTTTGGTTGATTGCTAATTTTATTTATTAAATCGCCAAAATAAGAAACCAACTATAAGAGACAGTCCCATTAGCATCGTGTCGGAGATAAAACTTTATTGATGGTGCCACACCATTTTAGGCCGCTATAAGACTTTCTCCGCAAGGACTAAATTGATCTTCATTTTAGCAGAGTACTTGTAGGAGTATTAAAGTACATATCTATATTTTCTAGAATTTTCCTCAACGATGTATAGTGTTGTAACTCCATGTTTAATGTGTGATTGCCATTACTATATAACTTGACGACTGTTAACCCAGATCGATGTACAAACCTAATAAAATATATATACTATAAAGATTTCCAATTATCAACAGGAACACATTATAAATACATACATATTGAAAGTTATAAAGAATAATATAACATGAGGATGATTTCGAAATTCCAAATAGAGTTCAACGGTCGCACGATAATATAAAATTAGAAATGAAATTAATTTGTATGCGTATCTACTCATCCTCAGTGTTAGTTCCTAAGTGTTAGTTACTAAACAACCAATACAAACTATGTTATATTCAGGTATCATATAAGTACTGTTTAAACATCACAATCTCACTAGTTGTCTATTCCAAAGCTTAAGTTTTCTATGTGTTATTCCTTTTCTATTGCTTGATGCCAAAAAATTAGGTGCAAAATTCTATTATTCTGTAATGATGTAATACCATTTCCCTTCTATTTAGGTTATACGAGTGACCATATAATCTGCTAGGAATTTACTGTAACTCATACCTACCGTATTTACAGAATCTCTTATTTTTACTTCATTTTAAATTATTGTAGAGTAGTATATAATTAAAACATGTAGTTTAAAAGCCCGAAAATAATATATATCTAATAAGAAAGATGTACTTCTACTTTTCCCCTACGTGGCCTTGGTCTGGAGCTATATTCCTATTTTTTTTAAGTCATAAAATCGCTCCGAGTGTAGATTCTAATAAATCTTTTTCTATTGGATCCTCTTGTTGATGTAAATTCCTCGCAGTTTTTATGATCATTGTTACTCATTATTAATTAATTATAGAATTAATGAGTAAATTCCATAATACTATTACTATAAGTAAGCTCTCCCTTGCTTGTAGGTGGATTGTTTTAAAGAATGTTACCTGGTATTCTGCAGTTGCAACCTTCTTATAGTCAATGATTTTTAGAAATAGGTTTACTAATAAGAAACAAAAATACCTTGTTTTTATTATTTATTTTGTTTCAATGGAAATTATATAGGTATATTTTTATTATTGTAACCTACATAGTTATGTTGGCTGTAATTTAATATTGATGTAATTAATATATGTATTTTTATTTCAAACAGTTTTTTATTTTATGTTACCATTTTATTAAACCATAAAATAAAGAGGTACGTAAGTAAATCAATAATATAATAATTACATTAACACGAACATGAAGCCTAGGATAACCAGAAAGGGGAACGTTTAACTTGAAATTTAATAATGACTAATGCGCCGACCCTGCTTCGCATAGGTAGGTACTTAAAACGTTTGACATTTGAAATTGAAATTATATATTAACATAATGGGTATATAGCCAATGGCACTCTAGAATAATGTGTATTTCTGAAACCACTGCAATGGTAATTTAATGTACCTAAGCACTTGATATGGCAAACTGATGGTAAATGTATATATATATAAGTGATAGTATATATATATATATACTCATTGAGTCGAAGTCACTGCATTCTTTCAACAATTTAGTCAGTCTGGGGATAGGAGAATTTGCATCGAGTAAGTACAGTTCTACGAAGCGGTAAAGCTAGAGGCGTGATCGGCTAACGGGGATTGTAGAGGGTATGCGGAATCCCAATCACCAAAATAACATTTTCTATTATCTAATTTTTACTAAAAAAATGTCTGTCTGTCTGTTTATTCCGGCTAATCTCTGAAATGGCTGGACCGATTTTGACGGGACTTTTTTAGCAGGTAGTTGATGTAATAAGGAGTAACTTAAGCTACTTTTATTTTAGAAAAATAAAGTTTAATTTCACGCGGACCAATTCGCGGGTACAGCTTCAAACAGTTCTATTACGATTTTTGATATGGGTATAACTTTTGTATCTGTATTATTTTGCATGCCGTGTTCGCCTATAAATAATTGTGTATTTAGACCCTAACCCATTTATACCATAACACAAGTAATTAAATAAATTGCAGTATTGTCACAATTGATTCTAAATAAAGTTAAAAAAAAAAATGAGTTGAGCGAGGACTAAGATGTTATGCGGCCTGAAATTTATATATTTGCCTGAACAATTTTACCCATCATTGGCACTTGTACCTGTGTAATAAGCATTTTCGAATCTGGTAATATAACAATAGCACTAATTGGTAATATAGGTATTTAATTTCCCAATTGCCAATCGAGTGAAATTATGTACGAAGTTGTCTTGTGGGTCGACAAGTACCTATACCTACAATGTAAATATATGTAGGTACCGTCTTTAAAAAAAGCTGATGAGTTTCTTGCCAGTTCTTCTCAATTAAATCTATATGCTAAACTGAACGGTAGGGAAAATTAATGTTAATATTTAAACTTTAATTTCATAAGCGGCTAACAATGCCTATGTATGTAGCGCTGTTATGCTGTGGTGGCGCTGTTAACACCTAGTGTGGTGCCCTCAGACTAAATTTTTATCCGTCAGGCAGGAATTGGCCTTCAGCCGCTCCATAAGTTCTTCCGCGGGTTTGGAGTCCCATCTGCACTCGCCCCCTAACGTCCGGTGAAGCTGTAAAGGCCAGCTGCGGCCAACAGCATCAGAGTAGTCCGAAAAAAAAAAAGTATGTAGGTAGTGAGTACACCGGTAAATAATTGTAGCATTTATTGGTATTGGTAATGTGCTACAATATTTATTAGAGCCGCGAGTACTCAACGCAGAGTCGTAACGCGGACTGTTTTACACTTCATTCAAATCTATGTTTGTGGAGACGTAAACTAATAGAAGGGTTTCAAGTGTTGACCGAAATATTACAAGTGTAGGCATATCTACTTTTTTTTTTGAAGTTGGCTATCTGCAATCCGTACGGGTTTATCCCTATGGGAAGATCTCTGTCCTTTGAAAAGTCCCCATATTTCAGCTAACTAAAAATCTTTCATCCAGCTTCAGGATATTTGCTCTTTTTGGTCTCTTTCCTAAATTGTTGATTAGAAGCTAGTTCGTTCGGGTGAACAGCAAGATGTGCCCTATATTTGGTGCGTTTTCCCAATTTCTTCCTTGAGTTGGTGATGAACCACGGTGCTTTTAAGATGCACTTTAGGATTCAGTTTTGAAAGCGTTGGAGTATTCAATATTCGGGTGACAGGTTTCCCCATAGCTGAATGTCGGAAGTCCAGATTAGTATGAGTGCAACCTTGTATAATATATGACAAGTTTAGTTGTCCTACCTACATGAATAAATAATTTCTGATTCGTTTTATTTGTATAATTTTTTTTTTAAATACATTTTCAATAATTTTATAAACACGAAAGTTTGTAAGTTTCGTACTTAGAAACTTTTGCGTTCTTAATATTATTAAAATGTATTTAGAAAAAAATGATTGTTACTCTTTGACGCAGTGACTACTTACTGAACGGATTTTGATGAAACTTTACAGCACAGATAAGATAATATTACAAACTTTAAAGTATAGCTTATGCATTAAAATAACACAGGCTATATTATTATGTATTGGCTATAGGCTATATTATTAATTTAAAGCGGGTGAAACCGTGGCACAGCTAGTTAATTATATACCAACATTGGTAACAAGCAGATCAATACAAAGAATAATACTCATGAATAAAAATGTTAGTACTGTTAAAGAAATCAAAACCGCGACTATAGGAAGTAAGTCACGGGTTTCAATAGCAAACCCGTGACTTACTTCCTATAGCACTATACCTTCCAGACTGTCAAAGAAGTATAGTACATTGTCATTCAGACATTGGTTTGTTGAGTACCTAAGTATATAATCAATTTTGTTAAAAATGATTCTTCGAAACTAAATATTGCATCGAAAGATGTTTCTTTCGATGAATTTAGTGTGGTGTAGATACTTACACTATATAGAAAATAAGCAACTGCAGTAAGCAATATCGGTCGTCATAATAGTAATAGGTGCCTACAATTACAGACTGGGTATAATAAAAAGTAATCATAAAAGACAATAAAATTATTGTTGAATTATAACATTTATTATTAAACAATATGGGAATATTTTATAATTGTAGGCAATTTAGTGGGTACATACATAAAACCTACAGATACAATTTTTAACATGTTACTTATCACATTTGAATACTTGTGTAATTATACATGACAAAATCTGTAAAATATTTTAACATAATAGTTTATCAGACGCAAAAAAGCCCACATGGAAATGTATACACCATTATATTACATTGACACATCTAACAGTCCTAGCTCATACTATATTTAGTAATGTGTAATATATTACTAATATATAATATAATATATTAACATAATTAACTACAACACCTCCCCAAAATACACAGTATATTTTTGTGTAAATGTAACTATACATTTTAAAGGTACATACACATTCATGATGTACCTTATCATTAGGTATGATGCAAATAACCGTTGCAGGAGGTATAACAATCTCATAATTTTACAACTGTGTATTAGTATATATATTTATAAATTGTAAACACTGTTCAATTTGCCTATTACAAGTTACTGTTCAGTTTGCACACTATAACAATAAAGTACATAAAAGATAAAGAAATAGCACCTCACAACATGCAACTAGACATTTAAATTATAAATGTTACAAAAAGAAGATGATTATTCAATGGTGTATAACTGCAAGCATTGTTGGTACTATATCTTAGTATCTATATAATTGTAAATAAAGATATATATGTTTAGGCCTCATCTCAAGTTCTCATAATATATAATTCATACTAACTCTACACAACTGTATACCATATATTTATGAACACAATCTACAAATTGTGGCATAAGTGATGGAATGTTAAGCCAATAAAGAAAAATTGCAACAGCAAATTCACTTCAAAATGTGAATTGAAATACAATTACATGTCTATTTTGATTAATTAAAACAAAATAGAATTATTAAATGACACTAATTGTCATTGGTATCATACTGTTAATATCAAAAATAAAAAACCTACATTAAAATTATACAATTTCAATAACAATGTAAGCCTCATATTTCATATTAATGAATGAATGTTAATGAATAATATAAGAAACTATAAAATGATAAAGAATTTAATAGAATGTTCATTTCACAATTTCAAGTAAGAAATATTAGAAGTAATGTATATTAGTTCACTGTCGTGTTGGCAACAGTACTAATTAATTAGGGTTTATCAGCTCCTGTCAGGTGAGCGCACACAAGTACATACTGAAGATACAATATTGTTTATGAATAAATAGATAATAAGTCAATGAAATAATAGCTTTTACTTTTTCCTTGTATTCATTATGAACCCCTTAACATTCCACATCTTAGTTTATACATTATTATAATTGAACAAGAAACAGCAGAGCAACACCAAATACTTTAAATATACAATGGCCATATTACACCGAACATTGAGATTTTTCAGTAGGTACAGCAGCTATTTGTTTTGCGAGCAGTTTTGTAAAATGTTTTACTATGTAATGACAAACTATTAGACTTTTCTACTAAATCATCTAGCTTTTCTCCTCTTTCTAATACAGCTTTTATTGTGTCATGCAAAATAATCTTTGTTTCGTCCAAGTCATTCTGTATTTTGGTCAATGCATCAGCTTCTCTGGGATTCTGGTATTTAGCCAGATACTGAGGCAAAACTGGGAAATCTATAGTTGTCTCATTACCAGTGGCCCAGTTGGCAGCTGGTACAGCAGCTGTAAATTCATCAAGAATTTTTGTTATTAATGTGTGTGCCACTCTATTTGGATACTCATGATCTGAAATTAATACACCAGCCAAGTTGTCCGCTCGCACATACACCTGCAGCATATATTCTCCTTCTTTCACTGATTGCCGTGAAGCTGGATGTGTTCTCTCCACCATTGTCTTACTAACAAATGTCATAAACTCTTGCACAGAGCCCCTTTGGAAAAAGCTGAAGCTTTGTAAATCATAAGCTGCTTTAAGTATTGAGGCATTATTAATTCCTTTATGTAATACTAAAAGTGCATATACTTTGACCATTTCTGCTGTATACTTTACTAGATTAGTAACGCTAAAACCTGAAACAAAGAATTTCAACTACAATAGTCATAAGTCAATATAAAATAATATGTGTTGACCAACAAGTAATAAAAAATCAAAGACATCAGCGGCACTTTAGGTTTAATAAAATTATATTTGTATTATTTTATTATTATATATATTCTAAACTATAAAAAATTAAACACATACCTAAGTGAAAGCTACAATAATAAATTTACGTTTTACGGATTCAACAATGTTTCATTGGTAGTAAATACTGAACACATTCATAACACACTAGACAATACTTTTCAAGTTATATTTAATCAAATTGGTTCGTCTAAGCTATATTTTTTAATAAACAAAACAGGAATAAATTAGATCTTTGGAATTTTTGATTTCGTCATAGTCAAGCACAGATCAAAAATATTCAGAAAGACATAGTCGAGATAGTTAGTCAATAAGGGATGTTTATTGACTGACTATCTCGACTATATATAAATATTTGTTCTGATCTATTATTAATTATTAATCTATTATCAATTCAAAAAGCAATTATTGAGTAATCAAGTTTTAACATACGATCCAAATGGCCTAATAAATCAATATTAAATGATGATAGACTAAAAAAATACACTCACATGTTAAAAAATTGGTGTGAGATTATTATTTAAGAAATAATCGACTGAATCAAATAAATGATTAATTATTATAATCGATTTATCACGGAGAATGTGACATCCTTATAGTCAATTTAAATTGTAGTAAAAAGTAGCTTTATAATCTATGGTTACCATCTGTGTTGTGAACTGTCGTCGATTCACACCAACACAAACTAAAAAATATAAAGAGATGTCGTCGACAATCAATGAATATACCGTCCACAGATTATACTACCATACCATACTCCTAATATTGCTTTATTAAAGATAGTATTACACTCAATCACAGAACACTATTATCCTAGCGGACACTCAGTAGTATTAATGCCCATTGTAAATATATAATCCATTAATCTTCCTTCTATACCCCACCTTAACTTCTCTGATCCATATACTAAAATCCAAAATATTCCTGTATTTATTAAATCCTATACTTTCCCAAACTTTGAATTTGGCAAATACACCAACATGCCAAGCCATTGAAAAGAAAAAAAACAGTTATAATTTCTCTTTTAGTTTGGTATTTTCTTACTCTTACAAAACTTATATTATTTTGTTTTGTATCTGATACCAACATAGTTATGACTGAAAACGTAGAAAAATTAGAATCTGGAAGTGATGCACGACGTCGAATACTGAATATTGCTGTATCTACAGTTCTTTTGGAGACTGGTTTTGAATCTGCAGACAAAATTTCTTTAGAAACACTCACAGAAATGCTTCAATGTTGTAAGTAGTAGCTCTACTATATTTGTAAAAATTGGCTTAAAATAAAGACCCGTCATAGATTACTATTCAAATATCCATTTAAAAATTTTGTCAGCCTCCTTTGCCCTAGCGGTAGCACACTGCTTCCTTCCGATAGTCGCGGGTTCGATTCCTCGCACGATGTAAACATTTGTATTCATGGATTTATACCCATTGTTTGTATTGGTTGGGTGATTCCTATCTATGTATTTACAAATTTGTATCAATTATCTAATATGCTGTTATGACTTACAGAGAGATTTGATTTTATTACAGTTTTTACAGAAATTGGTAACTCTGCTAAAGGCTACTGTGAGCTTTCAGGCAGAGTTGAACCTGTTCTTGGTGATGTTGTGATGGCTATGATAAATATGGGTATGTTATAATGAATAATTGTATTATAATGAGAAAATATATTTTTAAATATGTGAATGCTTATTTGTTATTTTACTCTAGGTATTAGCATACAAGGTTTAGAGCAGTATGCTGCTAGACCAAACAGACATGTGATACAGCCCCCACAACAAGCCCCAGCTCCTCGGACTCCATCAATGCTATCAGCTGGTTCAAAGGCAAAACATGCATCTCACATACCATTCTATTTGCCATCTCTACCTGATCCTCATGCCTACATAAGAACACCTGTAAGTTTGAACTGAAATCTATACATATAAATAAAATTGGAGTCTGTTTGTAATATTGAAATTTACCGTATCTTACTATATGCATATGAATATAAATACAGTACATACCAAAACAACAAAAAAAATTGTAACATTTTTTTACAATTTTTGTCTGTCTGTTTGTTTTTTCTGGCTAATCTCTGAAATGGTTGAACCGATTTAGACGGGAAAATTTTTGGCAGGTAGCTGATGTAATAAGAACTAACTTAGGCTACTTTTATTTTATAAAAATAAAGTTCACGCGGACGAAATTGCAGGTGCAGCTAGTCATGAATATGTGTATTGTATAAGTACTGGACTAATAACTAACATGTAATAAATATTAGTTCTTTATCTGATGGGCATTAATTGTTGACAGGTTCTGTGGTCCACTTGTTTAGAACAATTCCTTACTTTGGTTGGTTGCAGGTTCAATTCTTTGCATGATATGAATATTTTATTCATCAGATTAAATTATATTAGTCCCAGTATTTTCTATGTATATAATGTATTTAATTACAAAAAATATATATTATGTATGTCTATCAGTTGTTTAGTACCAATAGTACAAGCTCTTTGCAACTTGATGGCACTGTGTGATTTGTCCTCTGTTATTTTTATTCATTGCAGACTCATAAGCAACCAGTAACTGAATATGAGGCTATTAGAGAAAAAGCTGCAACACAAAAAAGAGACATTGAAAGAGCATTGACAAAATTTTTAGCAAAAACAAGTGAAACACATAATCTTTTTAATACAGAGGATAATCAAGTTTTTCCATGTATGTAATAACTTTATTCTTGCTTACTCATATTTTATCAGACTAATAACTTAATTTTCCATGATCACTTGGTTTCATGATGATTATGCAAGTGTATAAAAGTGAGACTTTGTAGCTTGTTATAAATCTGGAGGACACATCTAGAGAACACTCAGATCTGAACAAATATTAAGATAATTCTCCAGCTTAATCCTCAAGAAAGTTCATTAGAAGGCCCCATTATACAAAATATTATAACATTAACATATCCTGGAGGATTCATAGTGTCTTGTTGCATAAAATTAGTTTATAATATTATCAATGAAATATAAAAAACAACTTTACAAAATGTAAGTTTTTGAGTGAAATAATCAGAGTTGTTTTATCTCATTTACATATATTTTTGTTTTCAGTGATTGCATGTAAGCCAACGTTTCCTGCTTACTTGCCGTGTTTGCTGCCTACAGATCAAGTATTTGATTTTGACGAATTGGAATACCACTTCCAAGTTGCTAATAGAACTGAAGATGTGCCAGCAGAAAAGAAAGGTATTTTTATTGTTTTGTTAAACATTTACGTAGAATATATTTTAAATGGATGGAATTGGATTAATTGCCCAATCAGTAAGAAAAATTGTAAACTGATGAATGCATTCTAACTTCATTTGAATGAAACTAGAACAGCATTACATATTCATAAGATAGAATCTTCAGTATAGGATCTTCTTCTTTCATATCAATGGCAACTTTAATATTAAAACTAAACTTTAAAATTAAACCTAAACCAGTACCTAGTGACTTTAGGGCACAATCGGTTGCCTTGTTCTGGTCTTTCTTTGTGCTTGATGATAATAAAAAAGGGTAGGACATGAAATCGGTCATTGTTTGGGACAGATCAGACAATTGCAAGCTTCCCAGGCAGTAATACCCTATTACAGCAAGTTGTGCATGCAGCAACCCACATTCTGTTGGTTTTACATGATTTGAAATAATTTTTATTATTTTTTAAATTCACAGACCAATCAGACAATGAAGGTGATAATGGCGGGGATAATGATAATGCTAACAGTTCACAAGCAGAATCCCAAGACCTTCCCGTAAATTCTAGCCCTGACAGAAATAAGTCTGGCGGATAACACAATTTATTGTATCAATGTAACTTATTGTTATGTACCAAATAAGAGATATGATTGTAAAACAAATCTTTATTTTTTGAGTTTGTGCAAATTTTAAAAATAACTCAAATGTAAATGGCTCAACAATTCAGTGGATAAATTTTGTCGTTTTTATATTTAATTTATAAGAATTTTGGTCTCATTTCTGAAGAGAAAAAAAGATTAAGATAATTGCAGTTGTTAAGGGCATAATTATGTGAACTATTCAAACAGAAAAATAGAGTGTTTATGAAAACAGATTTTTTTGAAAAAATCTGCAATCCTGCAAACAGAATTAATTTAACTGCAAACTTAATTAATAATACCCAATTTTATGTATTCTTTAAAATTAGGAGATCTTAATAAAAGCCGGTCTAAAATATCTCAAAGAATGGGGGATAGGACATACCTTATTGGATTGCTAGCAATGTACCATCTCAGGCAAACGTACACACGGTTCCCCCTTGAGACTATCATCATACATTCATAGTGAATTTTCACAACGGGCTGACAGAACTGACCTCTTGTTTATTATCCTTCGCTGCTGCCCTGCTAGTGTAACGTGCTTGTGTGGCAGATGCAGCATTCCATTCTTACAAAAATAATCTCTCAGAGATGTATATATGTAGTATAGTTTAAAATTTAAAACAAAATGTACGAAATTTTCTAATGCACAAACTTTATTGGATTAAATACAAGCTTTCTAAGCTCTGCTTTGGTTTAAATTTTTACCGATGTTGTTCCTATATCTTTAAGGAAGGGAAAATATTATTTAGAAATCAGCAAGTTCTTGTTTTCCTTTCTACTGTTGTTTTTCCATGCCTCGTTTAGTTTATATTTTAAGAATCCAGTTTGGTTATGTCATGAAGTTCGTGTATGGATAATGTTGTTAATAAGTTCCTAGAGGGAATGTATCGAATGTAAAGTTGGATGAAAATCAGTGGTCACAAACAGCTCCGCATATGAGACATCGAGGGTCTTGGTATTAATCAAGTAGGTACAGGACATTGGTCTCGCAGCTTTTCTGTTGCTTCTGACAGATTTATTTTACCGATTTTTAATGATACTACAGCTGACTGGCGATTAAGAAGTCCTTCTCTAAATTTACCTGAATAGCCTCAGGTCTAGAGAGAATAGGATGACATCCTGGGCGAGGTCACCACAGAGTATTTACTATGGAGTAGTGGAATGCTGGAATGTTATGAAATCGGGCTTATGGCTTCATATCTTACCCATCATCTCATTTGGGTACTCTACTCAATAATAATTCCTTGCGAATAGGGCTCGGATTAGGATATATAATCCGAGCCCTAATATTTGTGGAGCACAGGTAGATACTTAAGGGTCATCATAAACTGAGGTGCGTGGAAATATTTCTAAGACATGGTGTCATTCATATGAGAAAAGTAAATATTCGTTCCGTTTAGATGCCGCCCAGATTATGGCGTATTCGGTCTCTGCTGTTGGAGTAAAGGTAAGTACAAATGAACAGGGCGGCTCTGGGAATGTCACACTTATTTATTTCAGTGGTATTCGAAACTACAGCTTTAGCGGGCAACAAATGTCTAAAAGAATTAGGATAGTGTAGACAGAGGCCACAATCCCCTTTATAGATTGTATCTCGTTCAAATGATTTCTTAAGCAATTGTTGCAACTGCCAGCATCATGGAAAACTATCGGTATGGTACAAGACAATAATTTTAGTTGGCAATTGTTTTATACTTTATGATTTAGAAATTGTGATAATAATTGAGTATATATAGTATATAATTTATTTCGTAACTTTCTAAATTGTATTTTAAATACATCTTATATAATTTTAATACATATATAAAATAAACACCAATTACTAGAAAATTTTATTTACCCTTACATTAAAAAGATTACTTTAAGGATTCAGAATTGATGACAGGCAAAACTTTAATTTCATCCCTAGTGACTACAGTCACTTGGAAATTGGGCAGGCTAACGAAGAGTCTTTTATGAACCTCCTTGACACATTGCTTCAATATTTCATATGCTTCTGCTTCAGTTGCATCTGGTCAGAAAAAATAATATTTAATTTTTTGCCACATGGATTAAATCCAGTCACATTTTGATTTTAACACAAATATATACAGGTTTCATAAAAGGAACTATGAAATTTTTAAATTATTAATAGACAATGACTAATATCCTTTACTATAGGCCCAATAATTCATACAACACCATCAAGTCTTAAATTTTGTTATGAATAGTAGACATCTGATAGATACATATTTCTTTATTAGTAATTTGTATCTATCAGATTAATATAAAATATGTATTTACAAAAATGTATGTACATATACAAATAGAAAACTAACAAATGTTTCCTATGTATATTACACATATATGTATTTATAAGTGATTGTTTGTATTGGTCCAGACTAATACAAATATTTGTACCATGTGTGGAATCAATCCCACACCCATTGGAAGTAAAGTGGTGTGCTAAACCACTAGATCACAGAGGTAATCATTGTGAAAAAATGACAAATTAAATATTATATGGATGTAGAATCTGTAAATATTTTATACCTTTTTTATAATAACGATCCATGATACTCAAACTGAGGTAGCCTCCATAACCATGAGCAGCAAACGGAACTTTTACACTGGATGCCAAGTAGTCCATAAAATACAACTCAGGGCCATTCTCTTTGTCATATCCACCCAGAAGAAGATTGACAAAATATGGTGTCTGCAAAATATAAGGTTATTGTAAAGTTCAAGTAAAAAGTGATATTAAAGTCTGCTGATTTTATTAGGAAATTATATTGGAAAAGAAACTGATAGCTACTTATAAATAGATACAGTTAAACCTATCATGCATTAACATTCTTAAGGACATTGTTAAGATCTGTGTTCTATATATTCCCTTCACAGGTTATAATGCGAACTTTTTAGAGACAATTTTATATGGTTTCCCTTGGGTAAAAATAATATATATATATAATAATATATTAAAAACAAATGGGTTTGTTACTAACACTACTTCTCAAATATTCAGCTAAATTTCGACGAGTGAAATTTGCTGCGGCTGTGGGTCCAAGTTCATAACCATTACGCATCTTGTACAACTGAATGTTCTTCGCAATGTACTCCGCAAACTGATTTGTATCACCAGAATCGCCGATCACGCCCATCACCAACCTATCCGAGATTTTGTATATCTTCTCTTCATCTGCAAATATTTAATACAGATATAGTTTCAATTATATCAAAATAATTAAATACCCAATAATAAACCGCTAACTCACCATCCTTCATAACCATAATACTGTGGCTGTTCGATTGATCAGCAGCAATCATAACAAAATCATTGCACTGTATTCCCAAAAGACATTGTAAATTAATATTAGACATTTTGTTTCAACAAGAAATTGTAGAATCGACAAATAAAATGAAAGAATTTAAAATTGTCAATTCATTCATATACAAGGTATACAATTATATTGCCGATTAACTGTGTTGCCAGAAATGTATGGTCTGGATGTCAGATGACAACGGATGAATTAGAATGGAAAAAATAAAATTATGATATCAATTTCATATTATATGATTGTTATTTCAAGTTCCGTTTAATGCAATACATCGTTTGTAATATTTTATTTGCTTGTGTTACCCAAGTGCGAGTTAATTAATGTGTCTATTCTTTCTCGATTAAACGTAAGATGTAGAAATTCTACACTGCGTACGATTTTGTCAGTTATATGAATGACGGTTGTTTGACGTTCTCTTATATTGTAGTATAAGAAATTCTGATAGAAACTTATCTCTTTAGAGTATTATGTTCCTTGCTTGTTATAGATGAATGTTTTAATGAATGTAGATTGTTGGAAGAGTAGAGGAAGGCCGAAAAAGAGAAGAAGGAAGGACTGTGTGAACGATACAATGACAAGAAATGAATTTAATATCCAGTTAACCGCGAACAGGTTGAATGGAGGAGAGAATTATATTACGTTGACTTCAAATAAATGGGATTATAGTCGTATTTTTAATTAGACGAAGCTAACTGGCAGTAGCTAATGTCACGTTGTGAAATAATGTTGCCATATTTAAAGTAATACTGATGCGTTCAGTTCTCGGTCAGATGAATGAACAATGAGTGTGAATAGTTAATCATTTCAAACTACAAAATAATATTATTTCTATTTTACAATAAAGTTGTATGAAAGTGCTCTGATATAAGTTACTAGTGTTATGTAACTACAATCAGTTATTTGACGGCTTATTACAAAGCGCGCTGTGGCACTAGTAGCTACTAGTACCAACACCGATCAACGTCGCGAGCGTCGGTCGTCATTTTGTTCGTAATTCGGCTTCTAACCTCTGGTCTGAGAGCACAAATGCTTTTTTTGCACTCACACTGTTTTGTTATTGTTTTTGATAAATTTTTCCTTCTGTTGTGTTTGTGGTAATAGTTGTAATAGTGTATATTGTATATTTGCTATATTGTTTCGTACCAATGTATCCTCCTCATGGATGGATGGAAATGGATCCTCAACCATGCATGTCAAGCCAAAGCTTGTCTCCAAGAAAGAAGAGACCACGGATTGCTTTAAGCGTTACCGAAAAACTTATGATACAAAACGTCTACAAACACGTATTTGAGGAGAAAGTTGCATCACTATTACCTATTGAGGCTCCCGAAAAAAAATAATGTATTTCAAAAACATAATAAGCTAACTTTTTGGGAATTGGTGTGACCTCAGTCTACAATGTATTAAAAGAATACAAAGAAAATGAACAATTTAAGTCTCTGGAGAAACGTGGACCAAAACACTGTTTCAAAGATAAATTATTGTCATTTTTCAGACAGATTTATAATTAATGTCACCGAAAGCAACAATGATTTTTTTATCTGATGATGAATAAAAACAAATTTTGTAATAAGCCTAGTTTTTTATTTTTATTACCTAACTATATTATGTTAGATATTTTATACATCTATAGTTTTAACTACATGATGTATTGTAAATAGGACAGTCTTAAAAGTTTCCTCGCATTTTTTTTCTTCATTTTTCAAATACTCTGTATTCAGTATAGGTAGATACTAGAGGAACATAGTTGTGTAAAACTTGTTGGTATGTATAAAGCACAGCTAAAATTCGAACCCCGTACCCGATATCGGCAGTTCGTAACACTAACTATTCACTAGACTAGACAATTGAGGCAATTCCATTAATTCAGGATTTTTTTCAATTATTCACTTTGTCACAACACTATTTTTATTTCATCAAATACTGACAACACAGTAAACGTCAGTTGACTTCGTCTAATTAAAAATACGACTATAGGAAGAAGCAAGCAGTGATCGAAAATTTGAATTTCGATATTGGTCGTTATTGACAAAAATAGTGCCGTCTTTTTTACCCGAAACAGTTAACTAACCTAGCAAACCATAATAAAACTAGTCTTTCTAAATTTGTGATGTAACAAAATTAAATAATTAGTTTTAATTTTAATATAGTGTCGTCGTATTTTTTTTTTAAATAAGTTGCCGTATAAAATTTGTAATTCATATTTACGAATAATGTTTAAACGAATAGCACTTGGTATTTCTGGAGGGGTAGATAGTGCTGTTGCAGCATTAATTCTTAAGAGAGCAGGTAAATTTACCTACAACATTGTTAAAAATTTTCTATTAATAAATTATTCCGGGTGTATGCTGTTTATTACATTTCATTATTGATTATATTTTACAGGATACCAAGTCGAAGGAGTTTTCATGAGAAATTGGGATGGTAACTATGAAGCTGGTTTTTGTACGGACGAAAAAGATTTAGATGATGCAAGCTTCGTTTGTCGAAAACTTGATATTCCTTTGCATAAAGTCTACTTCATCAAAGAATATTGGAATGAGGTATTCACAGTGCTATTAAAGGAGTATGAAAGTGGAATAACACCAAATCCAGATATACTGTGCAATAGATATATCAAATTTGATAGCTTTTTCGAACATTGCAGGAAAAATTTAGAAGTTGACGCTATTGCTACTGGTCATTATGCAAATACATCTTTTGGTCCATTCTTGCAGAAATATTCAGACAACAAAGGTAAATTAATGGATAACATTTATTATAATAACATACGATGGTAAACATTATATCATTAGTCATGTATATTTTATTTTTCAGAAGTGCAGTTATTGCAACCAGCTGACAAACACAAGGATCAAACATTCTTCCTATCACAAGTGAAACAATTCTCACTTAGACGTTGCATGTTCCCTTTAGCTAATCTTAAGAAAAGTGAAGTCAGGGATATTGCAAAAAAAGAGGGCCTTATAAATGTAGCTGATAAAAAGGATAGCACTGGTATTTGTTTTATCGGAAAAAAGAGATTTCAAAGTTTTATTGAAGAAGTAATGACTCAATTTTTTTATTTTTTCCCTGCAAAGAAATATTTGTAATACAAACATTTGATATAAATTTTTATACCATCACTGTATGACTTATTTCAGTATATTGAGACAAGAAAAGGATTCTTCATAGATATAGATACAGGTCAAATAGTTGGTGAACATAGTGGTCTACACAAATGGACAGTCGGTCAGAGATGCTGCCTTGCTAATTGGAAACAAGCATATTTTGTCTTCAAAAAGGATTTGCAGACTAACAACATTTATGTGGTATTTATATATATGTATACTGTATATAATAATGAACTCATAGCTAACTACTTATCAAGAAAAGTGCAGAATGGTTAATTATACTTTATATAATACTAGCTACTCACCCCAACTTTGCCTGCGTGTACATGTATTATACATATAAATCTTCTTCTTGAATAACTTAACAAATTCTTCTACTTCATATTATTTATAATACATGGTTATACAACAGACAGTGAAAAACCATGTTATGTATTTAAAAAAAAATGTAATATAGAATTGTCTTTTCAGGTTGCAGGCACTAAGCATCCGGCTTTATGGAATGATCTATGTTTTACAAATAAACCTCATTGGATACATAGAGAACCTATTGAATTAGCAGACAATGGTGTACTGAACTGTTACTTTAGGTTTCAACATACTAAACCATTAGTGCCTTGTAGAGTGGTAAAAAGTTTTGTTGGACTCACCATTATATTAGAAAACCATCTAAGAGCTATAACAGAAGGTCAATATGCTGTCCTTTATAAAAATATCGAATGCCTTGGTAGTGCAAAAATAAACAGTGTATCCCAACATCTTATTTACTAATTATTTAACATTATCAATTGTTAAATAGGTATTTAGTTTTAAGTAATAGAAAATATATGATTTGTTGTCTTCCTAATAAAATGTTATAGTAAAACAAAATTATCTTATTGTTTGATTTTCCTTTTAGTATATATTTTATTGAACGTAAAATTAATAAAAAAATACAGGAAGCTTACTATCTATATTACATTTTAACTACCATAACCTGTATCCTTCTTTAAATATTCATTTTCTACATTCCATGATATTGATACATTGATGCATTCCATGATTTTGTTAGGATATGCACGCATTAAAACATTGAAACCGTAATAAAGTGAATGTTGTATTAATAATTTTGTTTTTTGTTCAGGTATAGTGGCAACATTAGACTTCTAACTTTAAGTTGGGCTAAAAAGGACTTGTACCCAGAACCGTAAAATAAATAAATAAAATCAATGTCAGTTTTTTTGTGATCTGTGGTCCACTGTAATCTGTTTACTATTTTGACATTTAACCATTACTGTCATGTCTTTCAGATCTGTGATTGACATTTTTTCTTGTTTATTTTCAATTTGTTTTCAATTATATTATCATAATTAACAATTTAACATTTGAAAACAGAATATCAGTTATAAAAAAACTTGTTCTCTAATGTATTGTGCCGGATAGAACAGTTGACATTTATGAATAATTACAAGTAGAATGAGGTGTATAATTGGTTTATTGATAATAAGAAATTAGAAGAAAATGTCCGTGCCACCAATGAATTACGGTATTCCTCCGCCGATTATGCTTCAACCCCCACCCCCTCCTCCTCCTATTACACCGGCCTCGGAATTATATAATCATCCTCCGCTGCCACCTTTTCACGTACCTAATGGGCCTACAGAAAAACCGTCTGCTTACATGTTACCACCATTAAATGTTCCCCCGCCGGTAATGTATTCCTCTGATATACTAAATCTCCCACCTCCAGTTTCATCATACCCACTATCAGGATATCCTTCAGATTACGGTTATAACTGTCATCCCATTGATCCTTTCAATAGTCAATCAGACCCTAATTCATGCCCAACATCAAGTAATAGACAATTTAATCAACATTGGAATGAATCAAGTAATAGTGTATCTGATCGAATGTACCATGAATATTCAAGTAGTTCAAGATCTAAAAGTTTAGAGAAGTATCACAGATTTGATTATGCATCAACATCTAAACACAGATATTCTCCACATAGAGAAAAAAGCTATGATAGAGACAGGGATAAAGGAAGGGAGAGAGATAGATATAGGGAGTATAGGCATCGAGAATATAGATCGAGTCGAAGTCCCAGTGCTATGTATCACCATAGTAGAAGTCCTTCAAGTCACCGGTACAGGGACAGCCGTGATGGATATTTCACAAAATATGACCATAAAGACAGACAATATGAACGTGAAAGGAGGCACAGTCCATACTATAGAGACCACAGAAGTCATAGTAAAAGCCATGACTATCGTTATGACAGGAGATGTAGATCACCTAGCAGACACAGTTATCGTTCTTCAAGCAGAGACACCCATCATCGTAGCCGTGCTAGGGACCTTTCTCCTCGTTCCAGACATGAGTCTGTCTCTCGGAAGCCACTAACAGACCGTGAAAAAATTCTGGAAGAATTTAGGTATTATATGTTTTCAATACCTTTGTTTATCTTTCTATGACTCCAATTATTGTTGTTCCTATTTCTAGACTACATTTATTTTGTTTTGCTTTATGTATTGTAGAAAAAATTACTGTAAGACTTCTGAAGACTTTATTGAAAGGATGGAACAATGGTCAAAGGAGCATAATTCTGATGATGAAGAAGTGAGTGTAAAATTTTTAATTTTTTTATTAAACTGAATAATGAAACTGTTTTATAATGTGCCCTATTTCATATTTTTTTAGATTTCAAAAATGTGGTATAGGAGTTCTCCAGCTGAGTTATATTATAATACATTTGAGGGTAGCAGTGGTGTAGAGCAAACAAACAAATTAGAGAAGCTATGTGATACTTTTTTCAAGAATCTTATTGAAAGGGGTCGTATTGCCAGACCAGAAGTTGATGAACTCCCACCTCTTAGGGCACAAAAACCTAAAATGTGCAATAGACATACCTGTGAGTTGAATTAATTTATTGATAGTAAATTCTGTTAAAATATTAGATGTTGTTGGACTGAATTTTTTTTTAATAAATGAAATGAAATGGTGTTGTCATCTGCACTTTGGTATATGCCAGCACCCACCAGTGGAGGATAATAAGTTCTGTGACAATATAACTAGGAATTAGCCATGCTGGTTTCTATGTTAGTTAAACTATGTAATATATACTACAAGTAGTAGTAGATCACTTGTGTTAACACTAGAAATATTGTTCCAAAAACAAATTATAAACATGAGAAAATATTTTTTATTCTATGTAAGTTATTATATTGGTAGGAATATCATTAATATTATGCTGTTTTGATTATTGTGTAGCGGAAGAAGGAAGTTCGTCTTCATGTGAAAGTGATGATTGTTTAGATGAAGATGGTTTACAAGGATACACTGATAGGATCATGATAGAGCTGCAAAGAAAACAGAGTCACCCAAGAAGGCTACATCCAGAGATGTGGTAAGTAAATATAAATAAATTACTTGAAGGTATGTCTAGTCCTGGCAGGAATTTAAAATAAAAGTACTGATAGTAAGTTATGCTTACAGCAGGGGTTCCTAAACTTTAAAGATAATGGACCACCAACAGATTATCTTTTATGGGACCCCATATCAAACATTTAAATATATAAATAAATTTATATAATATAAAATTAATTATATAAATTTCACTGTTGATTTATCAATAGTGAAATTTATATAATAACATATTTTTAAGAAATGTGTATAATGAATATTTCTTGTTACATTTTTGTGCTATGTCAAAATAATATTTGATCACGTGATATTTTGTAATAGCTGATAATAAATAATTTTATCCGAACCCTAATGACTATCCTACAGAACGCTTAGGTTCCGCTGACCCTAAGTAAAAACGTAAAAGTCGTCTGTGTACCCCAGTCTCATCTATTTTAGTCCCTACGTAATTTGCACACAAGGGCCGTTTTTTTAAATGGTGTGTAAAAATTGTACATATTTGTGAGATAACTAACGGATTTTCATGTTTTTTACAGGTTTAACAATACTGGGCAAATGAACGGTGGTCCCCTTTGCCGTTGCAGCCCAAAGGCTCGCCGGCAGGGCATGCGCCACGGGGTATATGCTGGCGAGCAGCATTTCCCCAAATGTATTCCAACACAGAGCAATATTAATAAGCTTTATCATTACCGGTGAGTCTGTAACACGCCATTATAGCTATAATATCAGATACCGGGGTAAGAGGCTTGTTGAATTCCCTCTGGGGCAGTAGTCCCCAAACCCTGTAAGGCCATCTTCCATCAATCGTTTTGCTCCGCCAATTCTGCAGATGGGTGAACTGATCTGGTTATACATATGTATATATCTATACATATAAATAAAATTGGAGTGTCTGTTTGTAATATTGAAATAACCATTTTTTACTAGATGTATATGAATATAAATACGGTACTTACACCAAAATAACATTTTTTACAATTTTTGTCTGTCTGTTTGTTCCGGCTAATTTCTGAAATGGCTGGACCAATTTTGACGGTATTTTATTGGCAGGTAGCTGATGTAATAAGGCGTAACTTAGGCTACTTTTATTTTAGAAAAGTAAGTTTAAATTCCAAGCCGATGAAGTCGCGGGTACAGCTAGTAAGCAATATAAAATAAAGATCATAACTGTAGATTTTTTCATCATTCTATGTAACTGGAATGGACAACTGTCACTTATATACAGGATAATGACTGTGGTACTTGGAACTCAAGTGTTACTATTTTGATGGAACAAAACTGTCATGCCTTCGTACCCTGTTATTCAACTTTTATATCTCACCTACAACAGAAACAGCTTTCTAAACAAGCTGCTTAATATATGATTGGATGATTTCGTTGGTAGTAAAGATTGTAGTGTCTTTCTCTAATAATATTTTATCATGTAATTAAGTTCTTGAATAATATGACATAATCCTGTTTTTATTTATTATTATGATTACAGTATCACAGTATCTCCACCAACTAATTTTCTTATAAAGGCTCCTACGATTATAGGCCACGATGAACATGAATTTCTGTTCTCCGGATTTTCCATGTTCTCTCACTACAAGCTGGCAAAGCTGCCTACATGTAAAGTAATAAGGTTCAATATTGAATACACTATACTTTATGTAGAGGAACCAGCGCCACAAAACTTCACTATCCGAGAATTAGATTTGTTTGGTAAGCCCTACTAATAAGATTTAATTAGTAATAAATAAGATTAAACAATTATAATACAAAACTTAGATATATTTTATTTTTTTATAACCTAAAGGACGGTGAAATCAATCGGGTGAAATGGGGCCAAATAAGCTTTTAGTTTTATTCTGAATGTATTTAATTTTCGTATTCTGCAGAATACTGTATTATGACGTGTTAAACAGTACTGTTACAATTTTCCTCCAAGTTTATTGTTCTGGTCTCTTTTCCTCTTGTCATTGTTCTTGTCCTTTGTTCTGTATGTTTGCTTCTTTTATTGGTGTTACTTAAAGTCGTTAAAGTCTCTACCTAGCCGTACGTCATGAATGCTAGTTTTAACTGACCTATCGATATTATTATTTTTATGAAAGCCAATATTTTAACTTTGAAGTGATTATCATTAAGGCATACTAATATGACCTTTGTTTATTTGTTATGAAGTGGTTTATATAATTTTAACTTTGCAGATATGGTTGTGTTATGGACAATATTTAATTATTCCTTTTTTCCCCTATTTCAGAGGAATATCTTTTTATCGAACTTTTGGAATTAGTAGATTTGGACCTTGGAAAAGCTACTGACGATTATTGTTCACAATTTCACTTTATGCCTCGATTTGTTCGATATCTTCCAGAAGGAGGTTGCGAGGTATGTAAATTGAATAATAATGTATGGATGGATTTTAAATCAAAAGCAAATCAATGCAATAAATTGTAAATAAAATATTTGTTATCGAAACAAATATAACAATGTATTATTGTAAATTTTATTTATCAAATTTAGTAGTGCTGTATTAATATAAATTTATATATAATACAAGGCATTCCGCGAAGCTTCCTGCGTGAATTTCTTTCTTTGTAACTTTCTAACAATGTAGCTATCTATTGGTTTTTTTTTTATAACACAGTGGACAAACGAGGTGTAACTACTTCTTAAATCACTTATGTAGTTAAAATGGTAAATACGGTAAAGGTCTAACAATCAACTAGATAATAAGTGGTAATCCTATTTTTCATTAAAAAAATAAGACGTTTTCATTATCTTTATTACATATATACTACATTACATATTCTTAAAAGAAAGAAAGAATAATAATTTATTTAAATACAAGACGTATTTTAAATGCAAAATAATTGACTGTTTTTAAAGATTCCTTCATTTAAAGAATCCTACATTATCAACTAGTATTCATAGCCTGTATTTCATGCAAGCAGCGCCGAGAATATAGCTCGTATGTATTTAGTAAAGGTGTTAAAACTTAATATATTTAGTGATATCACGTTATGTGAAATGATAATAATTATTTTTAATAGGTGCTATCTATGTGTGAAATATTAAAATACCTCATAGACGAAAGTGGACTACTGATACCGCCAGAAACTTTGAATGACGTCCACAGTATGGATCATTACAATTGGCAGAAGTTTGTTGATAGAATCAAAGGTAAGATGTTATAGTATCATGAGTATAAGATATCAAATATTTAATATATATACTGTAATATATTAAAATAAATATACAGTCAAAAAGGTTATGTACCATGTATGTTACAAAACTCAAGATTTCCCACAAATTTCTTTTATTCACATTTTAATCTACAGGGATTACTCTATGTTGCTTTTATATCTGTGTATGGTATTTATATAAAAAATAATATGTTTCAGGAATGATAGTCACATATCCAGGTAAAAAGCCTTGTTCCATTCGCGTGGACCAGTTGGATCGGAGTCCGCCAGTTACTTCCAGAAATACCAAAAGTTCTAAAGAATTAAAAACATTCTACCCTGAGATTGTTCATTTTGGCATAAGACCCCCACAGTTGAGTTACGCAGGAAACCCTGAGTAAGTTCTAATATTTATATATTATTTCATTTTAGATGGGCTGACAATAATAAACATAGTTAATCACAAATAGTTTTATAATAATAATTAAAAGCGACATCCAGTTCATAGTAATAGAAATATTTAAATACATTTTTAAAGTGTTACTAGAAAATGCAATTGGATTGCATTATCTGGTAATTAGCTATTATTGACATTTGCCATGCCATATAGATGCGATATTCTACAGATTGTAGAACATACATCTTCGATTTTTTTATAGTTACGAAGAAATCTTCAATGTTGTGGCAAAAATTTGTTTTTTATAGATACCAAAAAGCTTGGCGGTACTATGTGAAATACCGTCACCTGATTGCCAATATGGCAAAACCGTCGTTTAAAGAAAAGCAAAAACTAACAGCTAAAGAGGCTAAACTGCAGGAGATGAGAACTCAAAGCAAGATGAAGAGGGACGTCACAGTTGCCATATCATCTGAGGGCTTCCATACTACGGGTCTTATGTGTGATATTGTGCAAGTAAGTTATGATATGTGTATTGACTATACTTAGATGTCTATCTTCGTGCCAGATCTCTTTTGGAATAAGCAAAATGAAACAGAGAGGCAACTATGTCAATCCTTACTCATAGTTTTTCCTATAAATTATAATTAGTGATGTACATGCAAATCAGCCAGTGTAGAGTATATTTGAATATGATACACAGTCTTGAGTTTACCTAATATTTAATGGTACTTAATTTTTATATTGTATAGTTATTTCTATATTTTTATTTTTAATATTTTCTTTGTAATGTGTATATTATGTATGTAGCTGCATATAGCTTAAAAACTGCTGATATATGAACTTATGTTTCTGTATCCACATAAGTTTCTATATAAACAGTTTTAAGTACTTTTAGTTTAAATTCCAATAGTTTGTGGATGATAATAGAATGGTACTCCCGCCAGCGCTAACAGTTTACGCTCCTTACAGGGGAGGATAATAATATAGTCAGGGTTAGGTATACCATCTTGGCAAATGGTAAATTACCACGATGGTTTTTAGGGGAACAATCTCTTTCTCCCCTGCAGTCAGAATTTAATCTTCTATTTCCATATGTCTCTTCAAAATATCTTAGTTTTCAATAGTATCCCATTTGTATTATTTTATAAATTTAGCTTTGTATGACTGAATGAGATTAATGAAAAACGTTTTATTGTTGCTCTCACAGAAAGGAAATAACAATTACATAAATAAATATGTATACCAAATATAAAAAAAAACAACAAAATTACAATACGGAGGTAACAATGGGTTGCCTTATCGCTATATGGCGATCTCTTCTGGGCAACTTGAAATGTGTAATAATACATTTTATTGTATGGTACACCGTAGTATTACAATAACATACAGTTTCATGTCTTTATTTCAGCATGCAATGTTAATCCCCGTATTAGTGCGCCACCTGCGTTTCCACAAATCACTGGACAGTTTGGAAAAGAAAATGGGTTATGTTTTCGAACAACGACTGCTGTTGCAAACAGCGCTAACTCATCCTTCGTACAGAGAGAACTTTGGTACAAATCCAGATCACGCGAGGAATAGCCTCACTAACTGTGGCATACGACAGCCAGAGTATGGAGATAGGAAGATACACTATACCAGAAAGAAAGGTTTGGTCATTACTCTTACCTGATTTGCCAACTCATTTTTTATTGTGGGAACATTTCTTTTCATGTCTATCATATCTTGCCATACATTTGTAGTTTTGTACTTGATCACTGAATGTTTGAAATGAAAATGAAATGGTAATTAATTTTATTTACAAAATATACGCCTATTTCTATTTCTACAACTAGTTACCGATGTATTGATACGAAGATATTTTTATGGATAATAATGAAATAAACAAGTGAATGATAATAGGATGAGCATGAAGTCTGTTAGACCATTTTTAGATAATGGTAATAAGTATTCATAATTAGGAAATAATTTATTTTCATCTGCAGGTATCGTGACATTAATAAACATTATGTCTCGTTTCGGGAAACATAATGAAACCGAGTCGGAAATAAAACATAATGAAAGACTGGAATTTCTTGGCGACGCCGTGGTAGAGTTTTTATCGTCTATACACTTGTTTCGGATGTTCCCGGGCCTCACTGAAGGCGGTCTGGCAACGTATCGGGCATCTATTGTACAGAACCAACATTTAGCACAACTGGCTAAGGTAATTAACATTTGTAGTAAAAAAATCTGACTAACAGTTTCTGGCCAAGCGCCACTTGTCAGTGTTTTGCGACCACCACCTGGTTTTTTATATTATTATACATTATGTAGTTTTTAATACTACATGTTTTATTTTTATATATAGTGAATGATTGTAGTGGATTATATTGACTCAAAAATGTGTTTATACTATACTTTTGAGTAAATGTTGCAGTTAAAATTGTTTGGTTTGGTTTTGGTTGTTTGGTTCAAACCAAACTAGAAAGTCAGCATTAATCTTCATCATTATAAGTATGTACAATGTAAATGAAAAGTATTGCAACCGAGTAGGTATTGTCAGTTCTCGGCTCACACTACATTTAAGACTGATGGAAGATTTGACTTATCATACGTGCCTGATTAATATTTGGTTTGCAGAACATATCTCTGGAACAGTTCATGCTGTACGCTCACGGGTCGGATCTGTGTCGTGAGGTAGTGATGCGTCACGCGATGGCCAACTGCTTCGAAGCGCTCATGGGTGCACTATTCCTCGACGCTGGATTACAGGTAGTACTATCGTTATTTCCGCCGCTTTGACTCTAGAACTAGACTAACTTCGGCTAGAACTACCTAACTATTGTTTTTATTATTTACATTACATTATCTTCATATTTTTTTTTTACAACCAAATAGTTTGTGAACTTTATTTAGTTTATATAATTATGATATGTGGTACAATATTGTGCCCAATTCAAACTGCCAGTTCGAATGAATTATGTTAAACAATATGCACACCAAGACATGGACAGAACATATTTATTAATGCGAGTATATACCCGCCACAACATTTTTTAAGAAGTAATATATACTGTTACAGGTAGCTGATCGCGTGTTTGCTTTATCGCTCTGGTACAATGAGCCAGATTTGCTAGAAGTGTGGACAAAAGACCGCGCCCACCCATTGCAGGAACAAGAGCCACTTGGCGACCGGAAGTACATAAAAAATTTTGAGTTTCTGCAAAAGCTGACACAATTCGAAGAATCTATAGGTATGTAAGACAGTTTAATCTTGATACTGAAATAACATTTTTATATTGCTAATTAAAGTTGTCATAAATTTATTTCTTGACTACTTATTTAAAACTAGATGTCGACGCGATCTAGTACTATATTATTATTTGTTTGTTTGTAAACCGATTCGAAGCACTGATGAGTTTACTACAAAGTAAAAAGCAAAGTAAACAGCATTAGAATTTGTTATTCGATTTCTGTGATTGGCACAACTAAAGATAAGTCTTTTGGTAATATAAGTACATGATATATTTACATTACTTAATGTATACACAGAATGTTTATAATTTTTTATATGTATGGTTACAGGAGTAGTATTCAAACATATTCGTTTATTGGCACGAGCGTTTACCGATCGCTCGGTTGGATTTACGAACTTAACACTGGGTTCAAATCAGCGTCTGGAGTTCTTGGGCGACACTGTGTTACAGCTTGTGGTCTCTGACCGACTGTACCGATTTTTTCCTGATCATCACGAGGGACACCTTTCAGTGAGTTCAATTTGCTTACCGATATATGTATATATATACATAGTTCATGTTATTGTACATTTATTTATAATAGTCATAATAACACAAGTTTTACACAGCACCATCTAATTCCAAACTAAGTTCGTGTTATGGTAAAAAAATGTGTATACTATCTACACATTTTTTTACCATAACACGAACTTAGTTTGGAATTAGATGGTGCTGTGTACCAATATCACTATAACTTATTTAGAAATAATATACATAGGAAACACAATATAATCGTAGTTATGAATACAAATATTTGTATAATGAGAATAGAATCCGCGACTATCGATGCGCGGTGTGCAAAACCGATAAACCGCTGAGGAACATTTATAGATACCCACATTATAAGTTATAAAGTATAAAAAAGTGAAAAAACATACTTGGTGTTGCCTTAAAAAAATTTTAATAATAAAAACACTTATACTCGACAGTTACTTCGTTCGTCGTTGGTGAACAAACGCACGCAAGCAATGGTATGCGACGACCTTAACATGTCTGAGTATGCAATATATAACAATCCCAAAGCGAAACCAACCACTAAAAAACATAAAGCTGACTTGCTAGAAGCTTTTCTGGGTGCTCTGTTCATTGATAAAGTGAGTATATTAGGTTAACTGTCTAATGATTTTATTTAATTTTGTACTAACCAATCTAAATTCACATATTATTCATTTTGCTTTTGTTACAAGTTTTAATTATATATATAACAATCAATATTTAGAATGAACATTTAGAATTTGGAATACGAAACTCAACGAGCTCGAGACAACGAAAGCCTTGTCGATCTCGAATACTTATTTATAAGAATAATTATTAAATAAATATTAGAATGGTACAGTAAGATAGCGGATAGTATAAAAGATTCCATTAAATCTAAGTGAGACAGGATGAACATGTCGATAATACTTTATTTCATGTAAATGGTATGGTAAAGAACCTCACGAACCACTTTACAGTAAGTGGTAATCGTCGCCTTTCACATGAATAGCACCATTATGTTGTCCTGTGATCCCGTAGCCATTATCATGATTGTGATTGCCATTCGGGCGTACTAAGTTGCCATGCCTGCATGAAAACATTTTACAAGTCCTGCAGCTTGGCAGCTGGATTTGTAAGATGACTCAGACGACTTTGTCTGAGTGACTACTCACCAGGCACCAAAGTAAATGTAGATTTAATTTGGTGCCCTATATCATATATGGCAAAAACAATGATACTTTTGATTTATTTGAATTTCTTATATTCTATATTTTTAACATACTTTAACGATATATTGTTTTCACTATACCATTTTCTCTCAGTGTCTTTTATATATAGTAGCCGTATCCCTCTTTTAATTGTACATATAAATCTTAGAACGTAAGACACCAGATCTTCGGGTGACAAGTTCTCTACAAATCTGTTCTTGAGCATTCAATTTTACATACTCAAATGGCTCTGTATCACTGTATAATATGTTAATCTTTTTGTCGAGAAAATAAAGTGTATTATTATTATTATAATTTTTTTTCAGAACTTGGACTACTGTCAAGCATTTTGTAACGCGTGCCTTTTTCCGCGGCTACAGGAGTTCATTATGAATCAGGCCTGGAATGATCCTAAGTCCAAACTGCAGCAGTGTTGCCTCACGCTGCGCTCTATGGAAGGTGGCGAACCAGATATACCCCTGTACAAGTGAGCATGATGTTTTTTTTTAAGTGATGATAATGGAATGGTGCATAAGGTAAGTTCCGTTACCCAACATAGCAATTTCAATTTGAATTTAACATGAAGGGTTCCATGAGGAACCGTGTGGAGGTTAACCTGACGTGGTACATTGCCATTATTGGGATCATAAATCCACATTACTGACAATCCTCTTCCTTTCAGTGACCATGATGTTACATTTTTCGTATTTACATATGTTTAATAACATTTTATTTTCATAATATGTTTCAAGGTATAAAAAATATAATCAAAAAAATTGTTAGATTTTTTCGTTTTAAACAATCCCATCAAAAACATAAATGTGAAATGATAGCCGAGTTTAATATTATGATATATGCCTTGATTGTTGACTTCTACGACAAAAGAGGTGAGATCTAAATGGGTGCCAAGTTCAATGGTATGTCCTGAAATGTATTTATAACAATATATAATATCATTTCTTCTTATAACTTAGGATAATATACTGTAGCCTAAGCCTAAATAATCATAATATCTCTGGTAGCCAGTGATGGATCGAAGTTAATTGGTAGCTATCGACGTTTTCATACAATATTACTTTCCGTCCAGTACAAGATGAGCTATTTTTGCCAGGGATCAATGTTCATTGGTGGCTATCGACGTTTTCATAGAATTTTAGTATTCGTCCAATATAAGTTGAAATAGAATCAATTAAAGTGAAAAATTACAATAAAATGATAACAATTTACCACTTTCAGATTTTTTCCTTTATATTCACCTAATTATCTATCTGCATGCCAAATTTGAACTTCCTAGGTCATCTCAAAGTGGGTTATAATTTTAATCTATAGTTGAGTCAGTGATAAAAATGACGATATTTGGACGTTAATATCTAAATAACCGTTTGAGATATGTTTATGAAATTTGGAACACATATTTATCTCGCAAGTCTCAATATATGAACTAAATTTGACAGGTTTATGTGAAAGAGTTTTTTAGTTATGAGGGGGTCAAAAGTGGCTCCAAATGGTTCGTGTAAATATACACACGGTGCTGCTCGCCAGTTACTTGAAACTCGGCTTGACACGCTACCGCGTGTCTAGATCTGCTGATATAGATTTTCACTCCTTTCCTATTGTTTTTTTGAGAAATAGATATCATATCCATCATATCTACTTTAATTTAAAATTTTATTAAGATCCGTTCAACTATTTAGTCCAATATAGGTAACCAACAGATAGCCATATTATTTAGAATATTAGTATGTTTTTTAGGATTTACTTTAAACTGAGTTTATTTTTCAGACGTAAAATTAATTAGATTTCAATTGTTATACGAGATTCATCATCCCCTACTGTCACTGCATTTTTCTCTATTATTCTATTACCTACAATTATTTTATTATCGAAATTAAATTAAATTAATTTGTTATAATCGTGGTACATAGTAGATGGTATTGTTATTTAAATGATATAGCTTTCACTTTTAGTCTTTACAGATATGCAAGTATATTGAAATGCATGGTTTGTTTCTTTCCAGAGTGATCAAGTGTCTGGGGCCCACCAACACGCGGATATACGAGGTGGGGGTGTACTTCCGAGGAACACGGTTAGCGGCCGCGTGCGGTCACTCCATACAGGAAGCCGAGATGAACGCCGCAGAGCAAGCACTGGCAGCTGCGCATGGTACGTCTATTATCATCAAACTCATTTATTGATTGAAACTTTAATGCACAAATACTATATATAAATGTACATATGACGAACTTGACACCGAGCCACACGAAAGGCATTCTCTACCAGTCAACCTTAAGGCAAACCGAGAAATTAGTAAGCGGAGATTTATAATTTACAAACACTGAAAGATGGTGGGCGTGCGCGATGTGCTCTTTGCTGGGGTCATCCGTATCGCTCGTTCTGAGGGGAAGTTTTGTTTGGCGCTTGAAGAGTGTTTTCCGTTTTTGTGTGTGTCGGGGTTTTTCTATACGGCAAGTTCTGTCCTTAGGGCCTGCCACAGTGGGGGGCATGTCCCGCTCTCTCTTCAGAATATTTTTTGCACTGTACGACTACGTTATCTAAACAATTCAAGACATATAAAATAAAATAAGAAAATTAAGAACTTCAAAAACATCTAGACATCCTTGTATGGACACAGTTTCCTTTGCCTTTCCATACAACACAAGCCTTATCATCAAAATTTCTTTTGAGTAGCATTTCGACAATTTAAAAGAACATAAGAGTGTTACTACTATAATGCCAGTGTTAATAGTAATTTAATAAGTTGTTCCTACCTAATGAATGAACTAATAGTCTTCAATGAATTTTAATGAACTCCAAATAAATTTACAGAGTTGTTCCCGCAATTGGATCACCAAAAGAGAGTTATCGCCAAAAGTATGAAGAAAAAGGGTGGCCGTGGACGCGAAAGTCCATCGGATAGTGGCCCGTCACGATACTTTCAAAATAGGTTGCCTAAAGCCTACAGAGTCCATAAGGATTCGGACAGTTCTGAAGACAGTAGCGTCCATGCTTCGCCTCATTCAGACGATGATGGTAAACTGCTCGATAAATCAGATAATGATGATAGTAATGACGATAAATCTGACGATGATTCTGGATTAGTGAGTGATACAGAGTCGACTGACAAACTTGACAATGTCAAAGTAAGCACACTGTTAAGCGATATGGAAAAACTTAAAGAAGATCTAATAAGGCGGAATGAATACGAAAAATTAAAGGAGAAGTGTAAGAAATCAGATTCTGACAATGAATAAATTGACACCATCATGATATGATTATATAATTATGAATTATAGATAATATTATGTGTTGTATACTCGTAAAATATATAATGCTAATGTTAACAAAAGCTATTAAAAGACAAAGTCATTTATTCTTACACATTGTTTTATTTTTTAGTATTAGTACAGAATAAATTAATAATATGATTTATTTCTTATCAATATAAAACAAGGCAACAAAGCGTAAATGCAAGGGGTCCCTTTAGTTTCTTGGCACGCAATGTTAGCCACTGTTTTTGATTAGGAACGTACATTTCCGCTGGCATCAGTTGTTCGGGCGTATCGGTTTCTGTAATAATAATACAACATGAAGAATTTTTATTCTATTCTCGACATGACAGTGTAGCCACATATAGCTTGTATTGGAATAGTAGATAATATATTTCAAAGAAATCACTTAGTTTTACAATCAGCAAGTTATTATAAATCACAAAGTAAATTACTAAATTATATTATATATATTTAGTAAACATTTATTTTATTGAAATAATATAAAAATAACAAGACTATAGACTATAGATAAACAATTAAGATGAAAATCTTTTCTTGTACTAAATCTATTTCTTAATATAATAAAACATTTAATATTTCCATAAAAGTAAGAGAAAAGACGAATTAAGAGGAATCTGTTCGTTAATTCAGTTAGTTACAAATTATTTATACTAATGTAGAATAGATAAATAAAATTAAACTACAGACAGCACGTAACAACACTGTTGACTGGGTACATTTTTTCTATCTTATCAACAGCCGACAAGTTATTTAAGTTATATTCTTAGCGACCCTTTACTTTACTTGTACTATACTTTTGTAAATATAATTCTTATGTAGGTACATAGCTATATAACCTGTCTTGTCCTATCTTGGTTCTGTTGCTACAATACAGGGAACACACATTAGATAAATATTAGCAGCCCCATCATAGCTGCTAAGTACTTAATACATTAGTAGTACTACATACCTTCTTTTCGTACATGTTGTGCAGACTGCATAGTTGATTCTTGCATAGATAGCAGATCTCCCGGTGTATGCAGGAGTAATCGGCCAACACCTTCACATCGCCTATAACACAGCCAAAGGAAATCTGTCATTTTGTATGACGTAGTTATGATATAGAAATGAGTATGATAACGATGAGTATATAAAAATTTATTAATATAAAGCAGGCAATCTAACATACGGCTCAAATTATGGTAAACGATTACCATAAGGGCATTATTATTAGGCAACCCTCCTGAAGTACTAGTTACGCTACGAGATGACCAATGGTACCAACCGCGCGAGGAATTGAATCCGCGACCATCGGAAATAAGGCGCTGTGCTAAAGCGCGGTAAAACGGCCCGAAGAATAGCCCGAGTTAGGAAGGAACCATTTTCTTGTATGGGATGGGGTATCTGTATGTAATATTATGTTATCTGTGCTTGTACTATACTTTTGTAAATATAATTCTTATGTAGGTACATAGCTATATAACCTGTCTTGTCCTATCTTGGTTCTGTTGCTACAATACAGGGAACACACATTAGATAAATATTAGCAGCCCCATCATAGCTGCTAAGTACTTAATACATTAGTAGTACTACATACCTTCTTTTCGTACATGTTGTGCAGACTGCATAGTTGATTCTTGCATTTATAATATTTGCAGATTCTTGCAGTAATCGACTGAAACCTTATAGACGAAACCATCAATAATCAATTAAGAGTATTATTACATTACCTTAAGACTTCATTCTGTAACATCTGTTTCTGGGCTGCACCAGTCAGTTGCTTGCAATCGTTTAACCAGTTCCTTACTTCGTTAAAATCCGCCAATAATTGCACAGCTGCCTCTTTGCTGTATAACAAACATGTCAACAAATATACAATTTTAATAGTAAAATGTATACGGAGCGGAAAAATAGGTAGAACCAGTGGCACTTCGTAGGAAGGTAGCAATTATTATTGCTAAAAATTGCATATAGATGGCGTGATTGGTATCGATGGAATTCTTCATAGTTTTGCAAACGTTTAAAAAAACAAAACTGTGTTTTCAAAAATGTTTAATCTATTTTTAAAAAGTTATATATACATGTTAAAATGAAATAATGCGATTAGAAAAGTAATTTTCATATATTTACTCATTTTGTTATTTTCCAGTATTTAATTACACTTTAATCATTGCTAATACGGGGCTCAATGTTTTCAAAATGCTTTCATAGATGACATTGTTGTCATTTGTATCGGCCTAATTAAATGTCTTTTTTATATTTTCCAATAATAAGCACTTAATATATTATTATTGTAAATTAAACATATAAAAAAAGTTTAAGTAAATTAAAAATAGCCGAACAAGCAAGTAATACTATTTCCAATAATACCTATATATGAAGTGTTGCCATATTAAAAATAAATACATGTATTATCGATTTTTTTGAATAATCGATAACAGGATTTTATAACAGCGCATTATTCGATGATGCTTTTAATGAGTCTTTGTGAACAGTAAAATTTCATTATTTTGTATTATAGCAGTGTTCCGTTTGAAAGAACGAAATATAGTAGTACATTATTAGTGTCGTTGGTTATTTACATTTGTACTGAAAAATCGATTACATAATAATTTAAAATATCGAGTACGAATCGTAGCTGTCTTCGAATACTGGCAACTGGTAAGATTAAAATAGTATTAAAAAAAAAAGAGAGAAATCGACCCTAACCCGGATACCATAAAGTTGATTTTCCTTTCTCATTACTATCATAGCAGTTTGTTTTTAACTTGCGTATGACTCTGTGGTATGATGTTTAACGTGTCTTGTTATTGTACGGTGCATACATTTCAAAAATTATCTTTTAATGTAGGTACATACATTTCTTTCATACATCTCATACATTTCAAAAATTATATTTTAATGTAGGTACATACATTTTTTTCATACATCAAAGATATTATTATTGTAGATATCGAAAGTTATACAAGTAATTCTGAATGTTATCAAGTTCAAAATAAGCACACATTACTGGCTTAGACAATAGAGTAATATTACTTGTAATAAAAACATTTGTGACACCCATATGTATACATACTACATAGTAAGTACTTACGCCCGCGCCGTGAGACTCATCTAAGCGTACAGCGCATGCGCGTCGTGCGGTAACCCACCGACCGGCCAATAGGAGCGCGCCTCTCGCGCATCCAGAAAGTTCGCGACTAATAGATGGTATAGTAGTAACTAGTAAGGCAATGAGTGTTCCAGTGACATCGTTATAATAATTTCTCGTTAAGTTTTATTGTAATATACACAATTTCGTACTAAGTAACGTGTTCCGTTACACATTTCTATAATAGTAATGAAAAACCTAGATCGACCCTGTTCACTTCATCTAGGATTGAAGTTTTAAGCTATTAAGCTTAATTAATATTCCTTCTTTTGAAACCGAATTTCATTTCATTATAGATATAAATTAACTGACCCGGCAAACCTTGTTTTGCTTTATAAATTAACTAGCTGTACCCGCGACTTCGTCCGTGTGGAATAGTGACCTTTATCAAATAAATAATAAATATTTAATAATGTAACTCGAAAAATTCAAAGAAAAAAGTTTCATCGTACTAGTTTTGAAAATGACGAATTTCTTCATCATCTTCAACTTTCATCTTATATTTCATTTTACCCTCTTAGGGATAACATTTTACAAACTTAGAATGTCATATTTATTTATATTTAGTTAGCAGCCTAAACAATATTATTAATTAAATTATAAGATTATAAACTAAAAAAATTTCAGGGTAGGCCACCCCTATGATTTAGGGGTATAAAAAATAGATAACAACCCTACCTCAGACCTAGCAAGTATACATATCAAATTTCATCAAAATGTGGGAGAAATATGGCAACTAACACTGTGATACGAAATTTATATATAAGATATAGTGGAATTCTCATTAGGGAAAAGAGGGGTACATCGTAGAATACAGGAGGTATAGGTATAGGTATACCAGTAAATTCATTGTAGCTAAAATCAGTCTCTTTCACATAACGATTGAAATAAAAAATCATATAGCCCGATTTTGATACGTACGAGTATAAACGTATCAAAATCAGCCTATACGTATAGCGCAGACGCGTTACAACATATCTTCGTCGAGAGAAAAAAATAGGCATGGAATGTAGAATAAACTATAACATAATATATACATTGGCACATAAGCCATATCTACAGAGTGTCGGCTAACGATATTATACCTACACATTTACATTGAATCTTGAATCGTCCCTAATGCGGTACACGATACAGTTACCTACATATCTATTATATACCTATCTTTGTGAAACAGATGTCATGTAGACTGAATTGACTGCCATCTATTTTCGTGCTTTGTTACTAAGCACCCACTAGTAATTCGAACTGCTTCAGATCTAGAGACATCTAGCGGCTACGGCGGCGAAATAAAATAGCCCGAGTTAGGAAGGAACCATTTTCTTGTATGGGATGGGGTATCTGTATGTAATATTATGTTATCTTTGGTAGAACTGAATCACTTTGTACAAAGAAGTTCATGGGAATTGGTAAAATTTTCGATCTTTTCACTAGTAGCAATTATGTTATCTGTGCTAGTAGGATGCACTGCACTGTGTAGGTATGAAGGTTTAAAAATATATGGTAATTTCTCCATTCTTCTTTAGGAAAATGCTGCAGTTTCATGAATATCGTCGCTGATGGTTTGGTATACACATTACGACGATTAAAGGAACCGTAAGAATTTCTATGTAGGTATAATCAGAAGATGTAAATATATAAGTCTGTTAATAACTTCCGTACAACATCAATATTTTATGTTTGTATTTGTACAGATCTACTCAAACATAATATTAAACCAATTTTAAAATGCTTTCACCTATTAAAAATTACATTATAAATACAATAATTGCGCCTTTTTAAACATTACGTTGATTCTTAAACCCTCGTGCATACAAGCAAGCATGAAGATATTTAATTTAATTGTCTTCGGCCATATGGGGGCTTAGTCACGGCTGTTTATTATAAAAGGTAGTAATATCATTACCTAAATTTCACTTTTGCGACATATATGTGATGTAGCCAGGATTCGCACATTATACGCAACACCATGTTCAAGGTAGTAATGTCTTGAGTCGCTTTTGTTACTGGTAATAGCATTTTATCTGTAAATTTAAACACAAGTTAGCTAAATTACTATACAGTGGTATGATATACGATGTGTACTGTTAAAGACAAAGCTAATAAATACAAACAAAACCTATTCACTAAACTCATGTTCATTAAAAATTTTAAGGATCACACTGTATATAAAGAAATATGTATGTAGTATCTCTTTGTATAAACATTATTTAATTGTTTTTCTATTGTATTTAGAAATATTTAAAAGCATATAGATGAAATAATAGATGATAATTGCAATATTTCCTCATGTGTATTATTTATAAGTAATAATAAAGCTTATCTATTCCATACAAGTAATAAAAATGTCATTGATCTCTCTTATATAACTTTTTGATACAACTTTTAATATTGTCTTATATTAAAGCACACTGTTTAAGTGGAGATCCTTACTAATTGAAACTCTCGCCCCGGCTTCGCACGGATGTACATACATGTATTATATATATAAACATTCTCCTAGAATCATTCTATCTATTAAAAAAGGCGCTTCAAAATTCGTTGCCTAGTTTTAAAGATTTAAGCATATATAGGGACAGTTAGTGACAGCGACTTTATTTTATACTATGTAATTATGATAGTAAGTTACCCAAGAAGTCCCGTACGTAGGCGGAGTGATGTGGCGTGGTGCGGGGGAACGACAACATCAATTGAGCCAGGCTTGTAGTAGCGCATACACAAGACAATACATAAGTAATCTCTTCAGTCGCCTCCTACATATAACAATCATCACCTTTATTAAATGTTAAACTGTTACAATTGCTGCTTATAATAAAATTAGATAAACCGTCTACAACTCGGAGGGGGCAGTGAGTCCATCTCTCTGTTATTCTGTTATTTCATATTATATCTTTATATACATGAATTTGAATTTAAATAACACCTAATAGTCTATTAATAATCACCTAGGATGATTCACACAGCGTCATCCAGGCCTAAACTAAATTGGGTTTGTAATTTTCTCGTAGTGGAGTGTCTTGAGTAGTAATGCTCGTTAAAATTTTCAGACTTAGTGGATTTGAATCCATTACAATAGACAAGTGTTAATTCCTAGAGTTTAGTACTATGAGTGTTTAACAACTTATAGATATGCTATTTTTTTTAAATATGCACGTTTGTGTCAACTAATAATAAAGTACCTATACCTTTAATTTCTGAATGTTCACCTTCACCTCGGAAACCAATTTTTCTCTCATTTTGGCGCAAACATTCTCGTGTACACCGATTTTACCTGTGAATAAATTAGCATGTAAAGTTTAACGCTTCCCTGAAAAATAAAGTACTTTGTTTTTTAATGGATTATAATCGAATGATACATCCGCCTGCGCTTATGGTTTTCGCTGGCGGGTTCATATCATATCTATCAGTGGAGGATATTAGATGAGTATAAGATCAGCTCAGTTAGCCCATCGTGACAGTTTCATTAGGATTTACTACCCCATTGCTAGCAATGGGGTCAACAATCCACATTACTAACCATCCCATTCCCCCCTTAATTATTTTGTTGTTAAATTATCTACAGCTGATAGAACACAAAACCATTTTCTATCCGTAACTTCTATAACTATGTTTAATTAAATCAGTAGATTAAATATGAAATTGTTTTATATTTTGCTAACTGTACCCGTGGTTTCATCCGAGTTAAATTTCAATATAAAAGATATCTAATAAAAAATATATAACTGTAAAGTTTTATCAAAATCCGTTTAGTAGTTTTTACGTGAAAGAGTAACAAACATCTATACTTACAAAATTTCATGTTTATAATATTATTAACATAGAATACGAACCTAATTCGATAGTGATAGTATGGTCAGCAAACCGCAGATTAACTAGCTGTTCCATGTAGGCTTGCATATCGTTATGCGAGATACGGAAGAAGTCGTCCATTTCCCACATGTTAGCCAAACGTCGCGTCTCCGCCAGGCACCACAGTCTATACGTGTGAATAGAATGGTCTGCAAATTGTTTAAAGATTTTAATCAGCTTATAATTTAAAACAATATAAAAATATACATAAGAAATATGTAAAGTTTTCGACATTTTATAATCTATAGAAAGTAATATCATTAAATTATTAGGTTAGTAATTATTATATGTTTACTTTTTCATGAAATAATTTATTCTATTATATAATTAAGGAAATTGTATTATACTAAGAAATTCTATTATATAGTATATTAAAGTTTTACTGATAGTTTGTGTTGTTAAAGGATAAACAACTTTAATATTAAAAAAAATAATAAAAACGATCTATAAAACTTTTGGAGCTGAAATGTAGGGATGTCCCATTCATAAAATACATTTAATTTTTTTTTATAGACAATGAAAAGTTCTAACCGAGCCTATGAAGAATGGGTATTTGTTCAACAATAGGCAGATCTTCTATCGGTGCGCCCAGAATGTAGTCCCACGTTACCTCGCATTGGTTGTTCAGACTAACCAGCTGTTGCAGCATTATCGCAAAATTGGCTCCAGTTTCTGTACACTGATGTAAACATTATATATAATGATAAATAACCTTGGACAATTACCACAGTGCCATCATGCTTGTGTTATGGGTACTAGACAACTGATATAAATACTTAGATATTTTTTTGTAAATACATAGAAAAGACCCAGATGGATACAAAAAATCATACTAATGAATACAAATGTTTGTGCCATGCGAGGAATCGACTCTGCGATAATCGGAAGTAAGGCGGTGTATCAAATCACCGAGGCCGTCAATTACTTTCTATATTTAATTTTAAATAGGTATTGTAGTAGATACTTACTTCAGTAATATATAAAGATAAACCAGGATGAAGTTTGAGTGATGTTGGCATTAGATTTGTAGTTAATGTGGCACTGTAAATAAAAAAAAATAGTGTTTTATAATTTGTACCAACACTACACTAAAACCTAAGGAAACGTAACATAATAACGCAATAATATCTAAGTAGGTAATCTATAATACCTATAATAATTTCGACGAAAATACTGAAAAACTTCTGCCACTTTTACTACTACGGGTTTCTAGGTCGTGATTATTGTCTTAAAACAACATTATGTAGGAATAACCTACTAAAAGATTATTTTATTATTTATTTTAATCACAAATTCAGCGTGAATAGCATCATGTAGAAGAAAAAATATTACAACAAGGACAAATATATATAAAACAAGATATATATTTGTTTCTAGAAAAACGCGACACTTACCCAAAATGCTTATCCCACGATGTTGACGTCACATGACATCCCAGTGCGTCTGCTAATATCCTTAGAGCAGATAACACTAGTTCAGGGGTATCTGAAATTTGATAAAGAAGCAATACATGGAGGATTGGCGGGAGATTTTCGAAACCTAAAGAATATTAAATCGAATGGAAGTACAATACAATAAGTATCCAAAACTATTCAAATTATTACGTTAAATTTATTAAGGAAAATCGCGAGCAAATAAGTTTAGTATGAATTCAGAATTTGTTGGGCTTCCATGAATTTTGCATTCATTTGTATGATTTTTGAATTAGTTTGATTGTACTTACTATTAACATTGAATGTACTGAATAACCATTCTCGTAGATTTTGACAAGTATTTGGTGATCTGTAATATTTTAAAATTAAATGTTGAATTGGACTGACTGCAACCAAAAAATCTGATTATAGAAAGAAGAACAGTTTATGGAATTTCTTAAATAAAAGGATGTGAAGGAACCTATAATATAATAATAGCAAACAGTACCCCTATATATATTAAAGATGTTTGGTTGTTTCTAAACTAATGGTATCTAAAGCAATGTATACAAAATAATCAAATACAAGGACACAATAGATAATGATCCATAAATATATACAAACATAGCATACTTGTAATCATTATTTAATGGGTCAAAATCAATGGAGATGATGATGACGATAGATGATGATGATGAACCTACTTTTATTTTGATCTAATCCTAATATGAATTAATTGTGATAAAGAGTATTAGAGGGTTTATTCTATTATTAAATTTATTTAAACTGCGGTAACGTAAATTTGTAAATAGACATTTTAGGAAGGATACGAATAGAAAATTAATTTTGTAGGAGGAGGGAATTGTTAGTTAAAGCACAGAAGAGATAATTACATAGTAAAAGCGACTAATGGTCTCATGCCATTCAGGAAACTTTTAGACAGACAGACAGTTTTATATATATATTGGTCGATTCGGTGTAACTGACTTAACTTATTCTCGTCCTATTATCGTATCTATACCGTTACAGATGGCAGGACAATAGATACAAGACATAATATGAACACTTTTAAATAGTAATTATTTGTCTTCTAACAGTGTAGGGAGAATTATTGCAGGATCATTGATAAAAAAGGTACCTTGTAGCCAAAGGGAAAGAAGACCACCAGAGTACAATGTGTTCAAGACAACTGCCGACGTCGCCCCAGAGTATGTTCTGATAGCACTCGGTTACCTTGTGAGCTGCCTTTTTACTGGCTTGGACGCGTCCTGTTCAAATTAATACTAATAATAATAAAAACTATTTATTGCGCACAGAATGAATACGAGCAAAATAATACTTTGCATAGATGTGCTCTACAAAAGGCGGCATTATCGCTAAAAGCAATCTCTTAATTCCATAAGGAAATGACATAGTATCACCACAGATACGAAGTAACATGAACTTCAAGTAGGAATTGTATTCGCAAACCGAAGATGTGAAAGCAATAAATGTAAATAGGTTTTTATTTTATTTACGGTGTTGTAACTACAAAAATTAAACACTATAAATTAAAGTAGTACTATGTAGATCTATAGCATCATATCAACTTCGTACGACATAACATAATTCCATATTTGAGTATTTAACATATTATAACAGTACAATCGTCATTATTGACGTTATCGTGTAAAATTAAATTATTAAGAACACAATAATGTACCTGATTTCAACCTTCTCACTCCATTTGATCCCAATAGTAGAGGAGCCATATTTGCAACAGTATCGAGAAGGATTTCTATATACTTTTCTTCACTCTGAAGGATGCTGTTTACGTTTTCTGTAATATTGTAAAATTGATAAAGATTAGATATATTAGGTACTCAATTACGTTTAAACGGCTAGGCGTATATGTTGTATAGTGGTATCTTTTTAAGTCTATAATTTGTGAAATAGAAGTACCTACCATCTTCATTGTACATAGATTTTGTTGTAAAATAAAATATTTTGACCTAAGCAGCTATGTTTGTCGAGAAAGCTACTGTTCTGCATGAGTAAGGATTCATGACCAATTTTGTAACGATGCATAGAACGCGCCTATTTTTACAAAAATCATCTATGCTTGCTTACGGACATTTTAATAACAAAATATACGAGTATAATATTTTTGTTCAACTAAGCAACGTTGTGTTATAGGTACTAGACACTGATAGAAATAGGTACCTACTTAAATACATCAATATTATACATCCAGACCAATATTATTTACCTTCATTATTTAGAATATTGTCCAAAACACATTCGTTAGTCAACAATGAAGAGTAAGCCACATCGCAATCGGAATTTTGACCAATCACTGCATGGCTTACCAATTTGTTCTGCTCATTTTTCACATCAACAAGACTTTGTGCTTGTTTCATTTTAGCCTTCTTGTGCTCTATAAAAGCTTCGCGACGCTTTTCTACTGTTAAATCGCGAGAAATAGTCGATGTTGGTGGCGTTATATGTTTTGTTAATGTGCTAGAATTAAAGAAAAAATTATAAACTGGATCAAAAATATTAAAAATTATGAAATTATAATACAATTATAAGTAGGTATATATGTTTTAGTGGGACATCTTTTATTGAATTTTGACACTATATGTCCGATTTTATCCAGGTTGAATAAATTTTTATGAATGTACTTTCTGAAGATGTTTTATTTGTGTATGAGTACTATACCATTAATCATGTGTTGTAGTGGGTTTCTCCTTCTAGTTGGCAATATCTACAAACATACCATACATATCGCAAACAAACTTAAGCGTAAGTACATACATTATATGCTTAGTTAATTTACAATTAATGAAATTAAACAGATTTTTGTGATTAAACGAATATGTCTGATGTTTTTACTTGATCAGTCTATATTGTAATAAGGTGCCGCACAGAGCGCTAAAAATCAAGAAAGCAATCTTACTGATATATTTCCAAACTCTCTGCGGTACTTGTGGTGGAGTCATTATCGGAGTTGTCCCCCGGTCTATACACATTCACTAGACAGTTGATTAGACGCTGACAATTTACTTCAGCGCGACTTTTAGACAAAATCTGAAACATAAATCGGTTACATTAATAATTAATATAGAATGAAATATTTTATTAACCTATATTTTTTATATATATCTTTATGCGTTATTTTATAGTTTCAGAATAACTCTCCGATGATGGACATACCAATAACAAACCATAATAATCCGAGAACGTTAGGCTTGGGGAAAAAATTGCCACATTGAATAAAATGTAATGAAAAGTCATTTATGTGTGTAAGATGCGTTTTAGCCGCTTGTCTAATCTAAAATAACGGTCCTGAGGTTATATATTTATATTTGTCTTTTTATAGCAATTGATGTATTTAATTTAAGATTTTAATAATTATTGATCGTTAGCACCATACCAGAGTATCTGGTAACTATGTAACTTATTGTGCGATTATCAATAATAAAGAGAATGGGCGCCCCACGTTGGGCGCTAGATATGGGCATGAGGATCTCAGGGTTTGTATGGTGTGAGTTAAAGGCCTTCTTATGGAAAGGTGTTTTATTTTATAAAATACATAAATCTTTATGCCGACAAATTGCGTGTGTCTTAACAAACTGCATAGAATATACTACTTATCCTATTGGTACAGTTGACATATATAAAATAGCGAGCGAGATTGGTCGACCTACCGTTCTGTTCACAGTGGTGACATTGTTTGTAGTGATTGCCAAAAAGATTAATTTATATTCTGTAGTTTTTGAACACATGTACATATACTTACTTGAACAATTTTAGTTAGAGTTATTGTTTTAGTTTCATTAATAATAGTAGGATAAGTGTTACTGCAAATATTGAACTTGGCTGCAAAATTCTTGTAGCTTAATCCTATTAAGTGATTATATATAGCAATGAGGCTGAAACAATGGTAAACATTTTTTTTATTATATACAATGGTATACAAGCCGGTGGTCCAAATTGATAAGTGGCATATTGTATGCATACATGTACCTATGTCTTTTAATCTGTATAAAACATACAAATATTAACATATGTATTATATTAGAAGCACAAAGCGCAGCCTATTTAGTCTGTCCCTCTGTACATTTTTGATACATAAGCCTACTGTATATATAATTGTCGCTCTTTCAAAAGGGCTAATATACAACGATGTTTAAGTGGAGAAAGTATAATAAAAACTTAGTTATAATGACTTTTACATCTAATAATATTTAACAAAATAATGTTTAAAAAATGTGTCAGTCAAATAATAATAACTAAAGGTCAATTCACACATAGCGCCACCTAAGCCTAATCTAAACAAAATTTGTGTTGTCGTTACTAGATAACTGACATAAATTCTTAATTTGTTTTTATGTACATACATAATATATCTAGTAAACAGCCAGCCAGGCCAATACAAATAATCATACTCTTGAATATCAAAATTTGTATTGTGCGAGGAATCGAATCCTCAGCCATCGGAAGTAAGGCAGTTTGCTAAACGACTAGACAACCGAGGCCATTATCAAAATTAATACATTTTTGTTTTAAAAACGGTTCTAAAATTTAATAAAAAAATCAAATTGCTTAATTTCTTGTTTTTTTAGATTAATTTTTCATTATACATATAACCTTATCTAGCTATCTAGCGTAGATATATTGAATGCGTCTATATAATTTGGCTCTTAGGCATACATAGTGTTGGATTACAATCCAGTTTTGTACCTAACTACACGCTCCTGGTTATATTATTATATTGACTGTAATCTGTTTTGTATAGTAATAAATAAATAAATAATTAATTTGTCACAGAAAAACATGATTTTAGACAAAAATATTTCTTCTCCATATGGCTTTTATAACATATGCAGAAACAAATCGGTTACACAGATACTGTACCTTAAAGTAGATTCAATCATTTTCCTCGAGTCATCCCTGTGTAAGCATGTGTTCAGTATGTTTGTTATAAGGCCATGCGTTGCTTGCAGCATCACAAATCTACAACTACACAGCTTGTCAAATATATGGTCATGTTTGCTTTGAACTAATTCATTTTGCTTCTTCAATCGGGCCAATCTCGGATTTAATTTGTAAAAGGATTTTACTAACTTTGACAGATATTCTATTATTTGATCTAAAACCTGTAAAAAAATGTAATATTTGTAGAGCGAAATACCACAGCATACCTAACCGTATGTATTTGCTAAGTTATATATACCATTATGATATAAATAACTAGTACATAATAATTACAATTTTTAGTTATGTTTCATACATCCTTATAACTTTATATAGAAATATAAGTATATAAATTTTCAACAACGTAAACTAACAACAATAACAAACGACATTATACTTACTTGTATATTCACCAATTCCATGATATAGCTTCGATTGGATAAAGAATGGCTATTACTTCTACCAGTAGAACACTTCCATTTATTATCGGCGTCTAATATCACTTTTGTTATGGCATAACAAATCATTTCCATCTCTCGACAGTGCATAAACAACTCCTCTTCCTCGCTCGATTCTTCGCTTATCCATTTCTTACTAACTACTTTGCTTGACATGTTTCATAGAAAAATATATGTACTCAAATAAAATAGCAAATGTATGCAGGTATGTGTTAACTCGTAGGGGACATTGTGGCAACTAAATTTACCGCATTACTAAATGTTTGTATCAAAATCGATGTATAGAGACGTCGGTGCCAGTTGGGGGCACGAAGCGTCGAAGTAGTTGTAGGACAACTTGCAAATAGCTATAATTATACTTTATGACTGTTTCACCCTATCCTTCTATGCAAGAAATCATATAGTTGAATTTAGGCAATAAAATTATAGTTTTTTATTACAATTTTATTTTATGTAAAGGTCACGCCGCTGCAAGATTCTGGCAACAACAACACATACAAGGTACCTACAAGAATAATAAGTTTCCTATCTCGTCATCGCTTAGGTGTTTAGTATATGTGACGGACTTTTATACATACATGCACTCTACATATTATAAAAATTCCGGAAGAAATTCTCAAAATTACAACAAAAATCGTATCAAAATCCGTTACACTTTAGGAGACGTAAGAAGGCTATATAAGCAGAGAAACAGAATGACGAAAATAGTAATTTTGCTTTATACTATTTATAAATAATTTTGAATGCTCTAATTGTGACAAAAAAACTAAGTAATTGTGACAAATTCATGATGTGACGTGATCACGAACGATATGTACATAATATATGTATCATAAGTATCGAAATAATTTTTATTTTATCATATTTTCTTATAGTTGTAATAATTAAACAAAATTTCTCAAAAAACCCTTTATTATTTTATTTATATTTTTTAGTCAATGATGTTTGATCGATTGTTAACAAGCATTCAAATTTACATAGAAATAATGAAGGTCAAGCCAAGGCTTTGTCCTCGACGATAGGCCCGATTGTAACGGCAATGGATGAGTTTGCGAATTAGTAGGCTTGCAATTTTCAACGTCTATTTTTATACTTACCTATACGTATTGTTAGTCAACAAACCAAATAGTTTGTTGAAATGTTTTTTAAAAAACTGTCTTACCAATGCTCCATAAAGTACGATCTTAAATATATTGAGATTATGTAATAATGGGTTCAAAAGAGTACCATAGAGTTTGTCTAATTCTAACTATCTTAATTTCTACTGCTACTCTACATTTTTATATAATACATGAGTTTAAAAAACTGTCCCACAAGCGTACTGTAGGATTTCTTTTCTATGAAACATATTTTATTATAATTGTTTTGTATATTACAAGAAATAATGTTCATGTATTATACCTATATAAGAAATTATAATATAAATAAATTTTTTGTTTTAAAACTTTCAAAATTATATTAATTATATTAAATTAATAGTCAGATCCGTCAGTATTCTACGACTATGACGATATCGTCATAGTCATATAGTCATAGTATACATGTACTGGAATTTCGACAAATTTCATAAATTCTAAATATCTTTATTCATGTAGACCTATTATACTCTTATGATATATGTCAATACTACCGTCAGATCAGAATGATTTCGAAATGAGAAGAACTGCTAAGAAACTCGGCTCGTATTCTTTTCAAATAAATGTTGTGCTTGTTTACAATAATACAGATTCATTTCTAAATTCAAATTTGGGAGAATAGAGCACCACCAGCATATGTACTGCAAAAACAAATAGTTTAATCAGTGTTCGTAAACCAAACAGACCAGTCCCCACAAGCAGCACCCGTTCACGAGTATGACGAAAACTTATAATAGAAAGGTATGTCACTGGCATGGTTGAATAAAAAGCGGCAATTATGTACAGTAGGTACTTTTAATTTTGACGAAACAATTTTATGGAATTATTATATTTCCATCAACAAAATATTTTTCAATCCATTTTACAAAAACTGACAGTATAGGAAGAGAATATCACAGTAAAAACGAAAGAGCATAATCTATATATTAAATATTATAATTGAGTAATAATACTTTATCTTGTAATCTAGAACGTGAACACACTAACCACCGATCGACCATATGTTGGTTTGAACAAAATACAATACATAAATAAATTCTTCAATTGTGGTAGTATGAATATCCTCATCTCTTATTTGACAATGACAACGTTTATATGTTAGATGTAGTTTTATAAATAACGAACAATAGAGTATGTGATATAGTACGAAAGCAGTTGCTAAATTTATACGAGTTATATGAGAATAAAATTTATACATAACGATATTTATATCAGGAGTTTTATTTTGGATTCGGGCAGTCTAAATGCAGCATATGCATATGCTAATTATCTTACACAATTGCCATTAAAATAATTGCAAATAGGCATGTAGTTTTGCAACTGAATAATATTTTCGGTCATTTCTTGGTCCTAAATCAAGGAATAGTAAAAGATTCTAATTGAAAAAAATGAAAATTTAAAATTACGAGCATCATTGGAAAAGTAAAAAAAAAAACCTCTTTTATGAATAAGTTAAGAGTCATAAATTCTTATATCATCGTTTGAATAACAATCGATATTATTTTATTACTCTAACTTCATTAGAATTACCTTTATTCTTTAGACGACACTGCGTTATTCTGTCTACATTTAATCATGTATTATAATAATATAAAGAGATTTGTAAATTTATTATCAGGCTTGATGACCTGAATTTGATCGTATCTGTACAAATAAAGATACAATTGGAAATACAAAGACGTATGTATTGATTTCTTGCCTAATATATACATGAAGAGGTACCAATAGTTTTATGGAAATACTACACACATACAATGTAATGTCATTCATTAAATATTTATATCACAATGACATACACATACATTAATGTACTGTAAATTTTGATGGCAGATGGTGATTAAAAATATTGATAATTTTAAGTCCCGCTTATTTTAGTCTGCAGACGACAATGGTATTATTACTCTATTACATAAATATATTTTATCGCAGATTACTTCTACATATAATTGTTAACAGGGTTTTCGGCAATCAATAACACTATATTTACAGATATTCGTTAAACAATAACAAAGTACCTAGTAATAGAAATAAATAAATGCTGTTCAACGAACAACTTATATTCATTTGATGTCATACTATTCTAAGACTATCCAAATATCCTGTATTTTTCAAGTAACGTTTCATTATAAGACTGACATTTAACTTGTTATCAAATAGATATGCGTAGCCAAAGCAATAAACAATATTTATCCAACAACGAAGCCAATTGAGAACACGACTTGCCTTATGTTAAATGGCTACTACAGTCTGAGAATTTTATTATTAACGTAGTATATATAATCCCTAGTGTATTTAAGTAATATACATATTATTATTGAAATATAACGCTTGATTAGTCGTTCGTTTTTTAGGTCATGAGTTTCTTGTATTGCATTACGTGCAACTTCATACAAAGAACTTATATATTTTTTATATTAATTAACTGGTGTTATATAACATTATTAAAAATAGGTTTTAAGATACATCGATCTTCTGCACGATGCATACTTATTCTTATTTTATATAAGAAGTACACAAAAACTGATTATAAATAAATTTATGGAGTATAGAAGGGCAATATAAGTACCCAATTGTACATAGGCCTACAATATGAACTAACGTTATATGGATAATAAAACAGATAGATAATATGTGGATATAATTATAATGTCAAGGACAATTAATTCCTTTGCGGCCAATTGTTATTTTCCAAACTACTATTCTGGTAATGTTCCCTATAAACTAAGTAACGTATTTGTTTTACCTATTAACATAATTGATTTGTGTGCGTATAACAATATTTGCTTTATTGCGAGGAACTGTCATATTTCTTTGCTAATTCTAATAATATAACAATAAAATCATTTAGAACCTCAACTGAACTGAATATGCAGTTCAAAAGATTTATAATTACTGTTACCATATACCAGTTAGTTGAAAATATGTTTAATAAGATATCTGATTAAAATAAATATTACTTATATATATTATAAACAATCTAATACTAAACATATTATGTAAATTGATCAGACAAACTAGTTATGTATAACAATCATACACTGAAAAAATTAAAGCGATGTGTAAAGCGATATGTCAAGACTGAACAAAATAGAGAAAATACATAATATATAACGATTCCTTTATTGATATGGCTTTAAATATTATTTAAACTTTCCTAAATTAAAAGGTACTTATTTATCATGTTTGCTGCTAATAAAGTTACAGTTGATTTATTATGGTAATCAGCTAATATAATCTTCAAATACGTAGCAACCTCAACAATATAAAGACGTTATATTATTGTGATATATTTATTCTAAATAAACGAAAATCTTTAAATAAAAAGTAACTTAAAACACATACAGCACCTGGATCAACTATATTTTTGCCTTTGAATAATAAGTTGTAGGCACAGAATAAATACTCGAAATAAAATAAAAAATAGAAATAATAGTACATATTGTCCATAGAGGGCATAATAAGAAGTTTGTGGTTCAGATTTATTTAGCAGTAAATATAGACTGAGTATTACTGTATTACAAAGTATGATTACTGGGTAAGGAAGTTGATAGTCTATCAATTTACGGATATCGGTTTGATCTCCACGCGTAATCCCTTGAAAACCATCGTATTTAATTTCGCAACGATGGGCTAAATGATATGGCTTCGTGCTCAAGTTATCAATCTCCACTAGCACTGGTGGGAGGGCCATTCTATCCCTTAAAAAAGAATATGCACTACGTAACATTGTAATAAAAATAATAACTGTGATGAGAAAGCTATAGTTGTAAATTAATTAGAGAAAATGACCATTGATTTTGCTATTGGCTAACGAAAACTAGAAGTTAACCAAACAGTACGATCTTAAATATAAGGAGTTTGATACTGGGTTCAAGAGTAAAATTATTAGTACCATTCAAATTTGTTTTTCTATATCTACTCTACATTTTTACAAACATGAGAACAATACGCATGACTAATTTGGAAAATCCTTTTCGTTATTGCCTCAGGAGTCTTTTATTGCTAAATATAACCTTAGAATTTGCATTTCCTATATTAAATTTAAATTTCGTATAACACGTGCTACTAGTGCTAGGTAAAATATGTTTACTACAGGACTCAAAGAATTTGGCTACTCTGTAATATTTACCATGAATTTAGTTATTTACTAGAATGATAGATATACTCATATGTAATAGGTATGACGTTTCACTTACACGGCAGATAGCTTTAATTAGAGTTTTATTGCATTAAAAAATAATCCGAATTTTGCTTTATATGTTGCCTGGAAGAGATCGCTGTTTAGCAATAGCCGTCCATTGTTTTCTCTATGTCTTGTTTCTTGTAATTATGTTTCTATACATATTAAAATTATAAAATAGTTTTTTGCGCCATTGAAGAGTTTTCATCTTTTATAATTTTGTTATGCCAATAATATAAATATTTATCCTGAAGGTAATATTTCATCGTCTCTTTATCATTATCGTCATACCTATTATACTATAAATCAGTTATTATATTGAAAATTTATGTAAACCAGACAATAAAATTAATTAGTGTCTAACCTCAGTCTATCAATAACAGCGAAATAGAAAAGGCGCTTATGTTTGACCGCCTTGCGTAAATGTTTTACTGAAATGAAAATATGTTAGTTTTCATATTCTAATAAACTTGTATATTACACTGTTACCTGATTTCAGACACATTTATGTTACAACAATATATGGTCACTACTTAAGAGGTATAAAGTCAACTTTTATTTCGGTGCAGTAAAAGAACAGATCGAAATGTCAAATTTCAGAATAATGGGACAACGCAGATTCTCTTTCTATCCATATTAGGTCACACGATGCGGGGGAAGTAGAGGGATGATGTGTGGCCAGGGAGTCCAAAATTTCGTGACAAGACAAATCAAAACCTAAAAATATTATAGAAAAGTAATAAAACACTGAACTTTTCCAAAAACCTTAAAAACATTATTTTCCATTTGTATAATATGTTAAAATTGTTTTGATAACGAGTTTACACTCGGTTTACGAGTGTACAATTACAAAATATGTGACGTCATATATGTCATAAGGCAGTGGAGAGATTCATAAGTGAGTCCAGATGTGACAAGGACGAAGGTGGGTTCAAATATAATTAAATTCGTGTGACGCAAAATTCCAAGATATAATAAAGTACTGTGCCTATTCTAATAATGAGTACCGGTTCGCTATTAAACTCACTTACTTTTTAACCGAGATTAATGAACACTAATAATTCTTTAATATCAGAATACTTATTTCCTTCAAACAATAAGAGTTTTTATTTCTGAAAGAAGATAATATTAAATTATTGTATTGTTTTCAGACACCTCATTTACGTTACATACTTACAAAATAAAATAATCTAGAGAACAAATGTTTTGCTAACTGATAGTTTGTGAATTCAATCAGTTTTTAAGTATTCTACATAATCAAAATAATAATATATGTATGTATATTAATCTCGAAAATTGGATATGTTATTTTACTGCATTACATGAAAAGTCAAAGTACAGCGACAGACTGCTATTTAGTGACAACTTTAACAATTACTATTACAGTAATTGAGAGTAACAGATCATACATAAAGTCAGTCAAAGTAGGAGCAACAATTATTATATTTAATATTAAACATCGACATGTTACTCTAATATAAGAAAACAGTAAACTGATATTCGTAATTCCGTAATATCTCTTGTAATGACTACACACAAAACATGGCTTAGTGCTAAAATAAAACTTAACAATTTGTTTAATATTGCTCTGTTACAATTTTAAGCCGATATTTACACGATACACAAATATCTAACGTGAACACACATGTCAACACTTCAGTAAAGCTACGCATCCTCAATCTGGCATATCTATGCTAGTAACAGGCACTACTGGTTTCATGGTTTCATTCTTCTTTTGATTTTTATTGGACTTCTTGCTATCTTTCACTTTTTTGTGAATTTCCTCGTCCCTGTATGGTTCTTGATTGACGGGTTCGTTTGGTATTCCATTAGATCCTCTATTTACGTTGTTATTATAAGCAATATTAGCATATTCTTGTAACAATGGGAACACTGATAACAGGAACTGGCAAAAATCTTTTCTGATTCCAAACCACCCTGGCAAAAATATTTTGTATGAGACTGGTGATAAAGACGTAATTTGTAATACGACCTAACGAGGCGGTACAATTTAAAAAAAAATGGCATTCAAAAGATTCGTTTACAATAACTGTCACTTAATTAAACTAAGATATTTTTTTCCCATGTTTAGGCCTTAGTTTAATATTGCCAATTGTGTTGGCATGGTGACAAACATGGTGAGTAATTTTGACACAATATTTGCAGACGACATATTTTTTTATTCAAAACATAAAATCGTCATAATAAGTTACTACTTATTATGACGATTTTATGTTTTGAAAAGTAAAGTACTTACATTTATTTCCACCTTTAGAACTGAATGACATGATAATGAGTGTGGCGTAGCTCACAAAGAGCGGACTCACTACAACCGTGTAGGAGAGAGTGAGGCCGTCATCCAATTTGTTTGTTAATAGCACCTGCAAATTGTTTAAATTATTTAATTCATCGCAAAGTATTATAGTTTGGAGGAGTGATCGAAGACCCTCGAAGTAGTAATGCATGCAGATACAACGATGTTTGTGGTGCTGCTCTTGTATCTGTATGCAATGGTTGCCATTTACCGTGGATCTTCAGTTTGTTCACCATTCCAGCTCTAACCAGTTACATAAAAAATATCAGAAAATAATACGCCAACATATTTACATATATTATCATATTGACATTAACATCAAAACTATTTGTGATAACAAAAATAGATGTTTGTTACACTTTTACGCAAAAACTACTCTCCAGATTCAAATAAAATTTGGTACAAAGGTAAGTCATGTCCCAGATTAACAAATAGTAAATTTAATAACTAATTTCATGCGGGTCACAGTCAAAAAAATAATACAACGGAAGACCGAATTACAGTTAAACTAACCTGAAACACCAGTATTGGTATCACAGTAAATGTGTACGCTAGCGCGGAATTAAAACTAGTGCGACGTTGTTGCACATTCACTTCTGGAGTACGCAGCAGGATACCAGCGAATATGATACTGTACAACACCCCTGGAAGCAAAATAGTATTATATGTAATTAATATCATAATCATAGAGAGAGCGGAATTTGTTATGAGGTAGGAAAACTTCGAACCACTGCACATTTTCAGAAAATCACTATTTGGTATGTACACTATTGCAGAGTGACATAGATTATACGAGAATAATATGTTAATAAATTAATAATTAATAAACAAAACTTACAAAATTACAAGCACCCGTACCAATCTGTAATCCACTAGTATGTATGATATAAAATAAAAAATATAAGATGGCTAATATAAATCAACTTCAATATCCCACAAGCAAACGAATTATCGAATTCGTAAATTTAGGCAATATTTAAAGCAAATTGTAATAAAAATTAACACACACGTTATATTTGAGGCGGAGAACAATAACGTGATTTTTTATAATGTTTCATTATATTCAATTGTAACATCATTACTTATGAACTTAATTAAGTTTTTGACTCACTCCAGAGTTATAATATCTAATTATCTTGCAATCATAATAACATTGATTTGGGGTTGGCATAATATGTTTTATCCATATTACTATGGGTTACGGCCTAAACAAGTACTTTCACGATCGGCCGCCTACCTGTCTTTAAGCTTCATTAAAAATATCTCATATCTCAACAAAATTTATGAAAACAAATGGTATATACCCTGGGGGACATTGTATACTAATTATTGTCTATGATTTAGTCTAAATAATTTTAAAACAACAGTTATAAATTTCAATATGGCCGTAAAAATTACTTACACTACCGGTCCTTACCTACTACATTCTAATGGGTATACTGTTTATTGTTATTTATTCATAACACTTATTTTAATTTAAAAAAACACTTGTTAGAACAAATATTTTTGTAACTGTTTTTAATTTTAACTGGAATAAAAGTATTACAAATAATGTAATAACTAAGTCACATTAAAATATTCACCACTCACCTACTAAACTGAGACACATAAGTATCCAGAGTGGCACAAACACCACCTCCCATGACCAGTTGATGAAGTCATCCAACTTCAATGCCAAGAATATAAATTGAAGGATATTTACAGCACAAAACAACTCCAACTGAAATATAATTTCAATTATGAATATAAAGTTATGTACAGATATAATAAAATATTTTATCACTGCGGGAACTTTGATTAAAATATGGTACTTAATTGTAATGTGATTAATAATTAAGCAGAATATGAGCTATGCTGCTTTATTATTAATCACATTACACACATTGCATAATTGTTTAATGATGTCTCCTATATATATATATATATATATGAACATACAAACATACACAATGATCATGTAACATGAAAGATATGGGAATAAAACTATTACAACTATATATTATTGGGGGGTTTTATAAAGTAATAAAACCCAATACAATATCAGATCTTTTATCTAGCTGTTTGTCCATTTGTATGCAATTTCAGAACTTGAAGTTTGCTCTGAAACTATAGCACTGATTTTTCATTCTATATTCATTTAATTAATTTTGCTATATGGGTACATATTTACATGATAATATGTATAAGATAGACATATATATTATAACAATATATGTATCAATATAACAAGTATATCATGTATATGTCTATACAACTATAAACACATTACATATACTATAAGTGTTTCATATGATAAGATATTTATTACTACAGAACATTTGTTTTAATTAAAATAAGCAATAAAATCTATAACGCATTAAAAACAAGTCAAGGCAAATGAATAGGTCAAGAGAGCTTCATTGCATACAGCTGGATAAAAACACAGTTTAATAAAGAACATATAAATATATACTCACTTCATAACTACGGTCATGTTTCACAGACCATATACAGATGGCAATGGATACTACACTTATAAAGATTAATGGTATAAAGACGAGTATCCATACATGGCGTTTTGTAGTCAACTGATCACATACAAGCAATTCAAACATTAACAGAATTAAATGTATGGCAAGACTTATAAGCATAGCTTTGTAATGGATGTATGCCTCACCCTCCAATCTGAAATTATAAAATAATAAATAAATATATTAAAAAGTGATACATATAATAAATATTATCTTATGTTTAACCAGATATAACAAGGCTAAACCTGGAGCCTGTATTAAGTCAAAGTTTCAGTACTTAATTATTTATGATTCCTGCAACACAAGTCCTAAGCTCAGTGCAGGGGTTTGCTGATAAACATTTATAGTCATTAATGTAAAGTGTATAAATAAATAAATAACCAAAATAACAATAATCTAGTATGTTCAAAACTTGATATTGAAATACCACATTAATATTTTTTATTAAAAAACTGTATGTTATTTTATTACAGTAGTTATTATTTAGTTGCTTTTAAATTACTTCTTCCCAATGTTCACAATCTGTCACTGTATTATTTTTTTATTTATCTTTTTATTACATTTACAATTTGTTAGAATTATAAAACATAATCAGTTTAAATAATTATTATATGCAAATATTACAGGAAAAAAAGAAAGAAAATTTTTAAATACAGTATTTGAAAATCATGAACAATGAAGATAGCATTGAAAAATCTTATTTCTCACATAGGAACCTGCATTTTTTTTGCTAATTATGTGAGGCCATGTCAAATTAACTAAGTCCGCTATATCCTATAACTATGCAGTATCTCTTCGAGGGACCAGCGGATGAACTATTGTACATAAATTTAAATTTAAATCATGCCCACAGGCATAGAAGCGGTCCCAGATAAAACATGTTGTATGCCTACCTATGAGCATACGGGCTAAAAATGTTGTTGCAGAGTGACCCACCAGTGAGCATGCAGTTTTCAATGTGTTAAAAAGTATAGGCAAGTTGAATAATAATTTGTAGAGTTCAAATAAAGAAATTAATAAAGTCCATTAGTATGTGCCTAAGTTAAGTTATGACACATAATATACACTAATATTATAAAGAAAGTGGAAAGGGGAATCTCTCTTGTGAGGACATTTCGTCCAGCAAATGCTTAAACAAAATTAATAATTATGAATGAAAGTAGGTACTTTGTTATTGTGTATACATTATTTATAATTACGTTTCTATTTGCTACAAGAGAACTTCTTATATAATGTTTTTAAAATCATGGCATTAATTTGCTTTGAAAATATTGAAGATATTGTGGTAATAAATTGTATTACATAAAGAAATATTCGATCATAACAGCTGTTCTATTTGGAGATAAAGAAAAACACGAAAACTTAAATATATAATACAGTATTTCATTGATATGATAATGTGACATACTGACCTGAAATGTGGATATTGCCACCAAACATAGGTGCCAACGGTAGCACCTAAAACCACTAAGAATTTCCAAACCCAAATGGGTGTAAAAACTGCCCAGTAGGACCATGTTATTGAATTATCTAACTTCAAAGCCAATAATGCAGTGAATATAAGTAAACAACTGTGAACGACGAATTTGCTGAAAATAAATTATTTTATTAAGTTTACCTTATTATTATGCTGTATGTGAAAAGATTTGTTTAATGAAAACTTACCTAGGATTAAAATCTTGGAATAAGGTTTGTAAATTCATTTCCATGCACATTCACCTCAGTACAAATTTAACATATCACAACAAGAACAATAATTAAACAAGAAAATAATAGTTTCAGAAATAAAAAAATGTAAAAATAATATTTCTTATTTCTGATAATAATCATCACCAGAGACTACCGACTACCAAGTCCTAGGGAATTATAGAATAAAATTGTCCATGGAATATGTCAGTCTCCAATCAGTATTATTATAAAAAATGTTCTCTGTGACTCAGGTAGGATATTAATGTTCTGTGGTAAGGTACTTTAGTCTCTGTTATTCTTTAATTATTTTATTGTTTTCTATAATTCAAATATTACCGAATTAAATTAAATTACAAAGTATAAATAATAAGTGACGTTGTGGAACTGTATAATTAAAAGTGATTATGGCATCTCCGTCTCCGAAGTCTCCAGAACAAAGCGAAAAAAATAAGCAATATGACCGACAACTTCGTCTCTGGGGTGATCATGGACAGGCGGCACTTGAAAGTGGACATATTTGCTTGATAAATGCGACTGCATTGGGCACGGAAGTACTCAAATCTATAGTTTTACCCGGAGTCGGCTCTATTACTATTGTTGACGATCATATTGTAAGCGACGAAGATATCGGATCTAATTTCTTCCTTGAATGCTCAAGTAAAGGTCTGAATAGAGGGTCTGAAGCAATGCGATTACTATTAGAAATTAATCCTGATGTCCAAGGACATTCCGTTCAGGAACCACCAGAACAAATATTGGAACAAAATCCAGATTTCTTCAAATCATTCAGTGTTGTAATAGCAACTGTACTTAGTGAGAAAACTATTCAAAAGTTAGGACAGCATTTATGGGACATTAATGTGCCTTTGATTTTATGCCGATCAGTGGGTTTCTTGGGGTCCTTCAGGATTCAAATTAAAGAGCATGCTATTATTGAAACTCATCCTGATAATGAACAGCCAGATCTACGCTTAGATGTGCCATTCCAAGCATTGTCAGACTATTTAAACAGTTTCAATATTGATGATGTTGACTTGAAAGATCATGGACATATACCTTGGATTGTAATCCTTCATAAAGCAGTACAAAAATGGCAAGTTAGTAACCCAAACAGTTGGCCAATGAGTAGGAAAGAGAAAAATGAAATAAAGAATTTGATACAAGAATACATTAGAAAAGATGAAAATGGGATACCTATAAATGAAGAAAACTTTGAAGAAGCCAAGAGAGCAGTTAATACTTCATTAGTACCCACATTTTTGCCAGTCAAGATTCAAGAATTCTTGTATAGTGGATCTGCCACAAATTTAACTAAGGAGAGCCCACCATTCTGGATAATGTGTTCGGCTTTACGGAGTTTTGTAGAAGCTGAAGGGAAGGGTAAATTACCAGTTCGTGGGGTGTTGCCTGATATGACTGCATCAACTGAACATTATGTTACACTTCAAAATATTTATAGAACACAAGCTGCAATGGATGCTGAAATTGTATATAGGAAAGTGCAGCAAATAGTATCTCAACTGAACTGTGACACAATAAGTGAAAATGAAGTTAAGTTATTTTGTAGACATTCTAATGATCTATATTTAATAAAAGGTTCTAATATAGTTACTGAATATCAACTGGGTACCCCTGTAGCATCATATATTGCAAGACATCTGGAGGAACCTGATGTTATGATGGTGCACTATATATTGTTAAGAGCAGCAGAAATATTCCAATCTGAACATTGTAGAGCACCTGGAGAATGGGAGCCAGAAGCAGATATTACTAAATTGAAATCATGTGTTTCAAAACTACTCAGTGACATATCATGTTCACCTTTCCCTAAAGATGATCATATTCATGAAATGTGTAGGTATGGAGGTGCTGAAATACACACTGTATCAGCTTTTCTAGGTGGTTGTGCTGCTCATGAGACAATTAAAATAGTAACAAAACAATATAAACCTGTAAATAATACCTTTATATATGATGGAGCTTCTACAAATACTGCAACGTTTACATTTTAATGGTAATTTAAATGTGTAATAAAATTAATAAATTATAACTGAATATTATTTATAATAATCCAGATATCTGTTTTCATGTATTTGCCTATTACTCATGACACGCATGTCACTTGGATATGAGCAGCAATATTAGCAGTTGGTATAAGTATTCCAAGAACTCACACAGAAAACACATGCATGTGGGCAATACTATCAGTTGATGTCTATCCTAAGGATGGCATTTAATTTAATATTTTTAAATGCATTACACTTTTTAGAAGAAAATGTGAGTTGTGACACTTGATGAGAAATTATGTAACATAGTATTGTCTCCCCAGGACAGGTACAAATATATCACCATAATAAGACTATAGTATAATTGTAGATAAAATAGTAGGAAATATAATTTTTATATACTATAAAATAATACAAGGATATATATGCAGTTCTCAAACTCTGTTTACTATCACTTCATTTTCTTTAAACTTAATTGTTGATACATTTTTCAAGTGGTAAATGTAATATTAGTAAATTTCAGTCAATGAAAATTCATTAATTTACTTTTGACAAACCTCCATTAATGGGTTTAATATAAACACTGACTACATTTCAATTCATCAAAGTTGTGTATTCTGGTATGGGTATTTACCATTAAAATCTAAAATTGTGATATAAAGGAAATTACAGAAAATATTTTAATTAACAATTTGTAACACATAAATTAGATAAAATAAAACATATCACATCACTATAAAATATTGAAACAAACTATACATTTGGCTAAATTCCACATGGCAACAGCAGGTTACACCATTAAAATAACAGTAGAGTTTGTTTAGGTATATGTAGAGTATGCCATGAGTGCATAGCCATCAGAAGTGTAGAACACAACATTGAGAATTTCCCATTAGTTACCTACATATTTCACCTTAGCCATAACTTCAATCGCAATGCATCTACACCATTAAGATAATATCGAAATAAGCGTTTGTCACGAACAAACCCTAAGTTCTCATACAACTTTAGAGCTGGTTTATTTGTGATTTCAGTTTCTAATACCACTTCATCAGCATTGTCATTAATCATTGCCTGAAACAATTTAAAGAAAAATTCACAAACTACTAATATCAAGTTATTTTCAACTTTCAATCAGTTTACATTTCATATTTACAACAGAAAACTCATAATCTCATTTATTTTTAATAATAAAATAATACATTTATAAAATAAATGTATTATTTTATTACAATGTTAAGTTTTTTTATAATTTAATGTAACCTAGTCTTATGTTTACTTTGTGAATAAATATAGCAATTTTCTTAAAACATATTGCTATTTTGCATATTCTATAAATATTATTATATAATAATTGTATGTTAAATTGTCCTTTATATGAGAATACACTTATAATAAAGTTAGAATATAAGAAAAATAATAAGATTGTAAGAAAACTGAATAGTAATTTGAAACCTACTTGTATTGCTTTCCTCACCAGCTTAGAGCCAATTCCCCGCTTCCTGTATTTTTTATCCACAGCTAACATTGCAATGTAGCCTCTTTTAACAACATTGCGGTGCATATCTAACTTACATACAATGGCACCAATACATACCCCTTCATGGGTTGCTAAAAAGCAAAGTTTAGGCCAGTTATGTATAAAATATCTATATGTATAGATAGAGTATGGTTCAGATAGATCCTTTTGTATAAGTCTCATGATTTCAGGCATCTGTAATTCAGATTCATATGAAATAATTTCAATTTCATCCTGTGTTGATTCATCTTGGAAAGAGATACTACTATTGATAACTTCTATATTGCCTTCATCATTACATCTGACCAAATTAGAAGGCAAGCTTATCTTCTCATTGCCTTGATGACTATTGGTGTCACTAAACTGTACACTATTTACATTTATTGCACCTTCACTGACTGATGTCAGTTCAGTTCCCTGTGCTTCAGTTATATCATTAGCATCAATGGAACTTTCCTCTTTCGAATGGTCACTTGTCCCATTAGTTAGGTTACTAATTATGTCTTTAATATGAAGTTTGTTAACTATCGCCTCGCTCAATTTATCGTCCAATATACTTATATCATCGGATGTTTCCGAAGGATCTTTGGCCTTTTTGTTTTTGTTTTTCGTATTCGTATTAATCTGATTGCAATTAATCTGTACATTGTCGTCTACTACTTTATTCATAGTGGCGTAATTTAATATATTGTATATACACATACACACTGCTTTAAGCTCATATAAATATTCAAAAGCTTTTTTGACGATTTTCTTTGTCAAAATTGTTTAAGAGTATCACCGACATCTTGACAAGTATAAAATTTTGCTTCGACGAAAACGTGATTTGATTGAACTTATGGACTCTTTTAATTTATAAAAGATTTTAATAAGAAAATAATAAACTGTAATTATTGAAATATGAAATACTCGGAGATAACAAGTCAATAATTATAATATACATTTAGAACTTTTCACTCTCACATTGCAATAGAAATGCAAAATGCAAAAAATATGTTTCTTTTATACGATCCATCGTTTAACGGCGCTGGATTCCAGCTATTATTATATAGAAAAATTGACAGATTGTTTTATTTCTATCTAAGGCAAATAAAATGTATATTATGAGTGAAAATATTTATAAATCATAATAGCAGTACCCGCATTTGATATGCAATAATACTATGTGAAAGAAGATTAAATCATTTACTAAGTTTATTTTTTTCTGGCCATATCATGTGATGTAATTCAGAAAGAGAGAAACTATTTGATAGCTGTATCCTTTTCACACTTTCACTTAATTCCAACAGATGGCGCCATTGTATTATTCTATTAAATACATAAATTGATGTAGGTCATTTTTATGCATGTTTTGTTGAATGAACATAGAGGTTCATATACATGTTTCAGTGCATTATTTTGCTAGTTGTCGATATTCTAAATCTAAAATATGTAAATATGGACAATAACAGGCAAAGTATGACCTATCACTAGTCCTATTAAATTGTTACTTGTTTTCTACTGCACACAGCTTCAATTAATTTTAAGTGTGGTATAGTAAAATTGGGATTTATAGTAATTAGCTAAATTACCAAATCACTCTGCATTATTTATATTTGATTTTGTTTGTATCACATATATTGTGTATAATATACTTAGCTGAATATCTTCAAATGTTTCAAACAAAAGATCAGAATAGCTATTTATAATATAGACTAATATTTTAAGTAGCTATATTGACCTTTCTAGGTGTAGTATATAACGAGGAAAGGGATTTTTAGTAATCGGGACTACTTAGTGACCGCATTACTAGCAATGTCACACGTCAAGGTTGCTTCTTGTAGCCTCCTCTGGCGATCATCGTGATTAATTTTTAAAATGGCATGATGGGTTGACTAAAGCATATGATTATGGGGGGAAAGGGATTGTTAGTAATGTGAACTCATGACCCCATGTATCTTGTAAGGTTGACCTCCGGTTGACTATTTCATCGTTCTCCACTGATGCTCCGTTAGCATATACCTTTAGTGCTGGTGTTTACAAAATTACATTAATACCCAAAATGAAAAAAAAATACGCAACTTGTAACAAATACCTATATAAGCCATGAAATGTAGCTGGTAATAGGCCTAGACGAAATTACATTATTTTTTTTACTAATAATCTAATCCCTTCCGCGTCAATATTTTTACTTGTTCATGCATTATTTCACCATAATCAGTTCAGAATCAAGAACTCCGCTGGTAGAAAATTTAACATTAAGCAGTTTAGTAAAATACTAATACAGATTTTCATGATATATTTTGTTACTACTTATATATTTACATGTATTATATATTAACTTCGGTACACACCGAACACATTCATATTTGATACTTACTTTAGTCCTAGTTTGTAGGGAGTCCTGCGAATGTGTTGTCCAAAAGAGGTTTTAAAAGTGGTCGAATGAAACACGAGCAATATTTGTATTTGGATAAAAATCATTTAACTAGTAGTTCTATTAAGTGGTACTTTGAATACGATTCTAATAATGGCAAGCACGATGATAAATAATTTATTCCAATCAAAGAGTGGCAAATGTTGTTAATTCATACAACACGACTCTATGTTCTCAATCTGCCTGATGTTCCTATGTTTTAGTCGTCCCTTCTCGTCATTCCTTTTATTTTTCATTATTATTATCGCATCAAGTGCCCCAAAATTTATCCCGTCTATTTTTAATACTATGATTTTTCTCATTTATCATTTATGGATATTTTATTAAAAATTAACCCTTAATATCTTTTCGTCATAGCTACCTAATTTGTAATCAATCCCAATAATAACCATGAATAATCCACACAGTGCTATCTAGTCCTGAGCTATAGAGCTAGTGTTATGGGTACTAGACTATAAATATGTAAACAGCTATATGAAATTTTACCATCTACACACACTTAGTAATATTCGTTATGTTTAAATATAATTATAATATAATGTACTGTACCTTAAGTAGGTAGATTAAAGTCGTATGTAGGTAAATAAATATAGAGATTATTTTAATTGTAGATAGATATAGCGGCCTCTGACGTCATGAGAAGCAATATGGCGGATCGCTGAAAGCGCGCGCGTCTCTGAGTAGCCATAGCCAGTAGGTTGTGCTTGTTTCATGAGTACTCGACTCGATCGACTCGACTGACTGGCTGGAGTTCAGTACCCGGTTGACAGCCGGTGAGGCGGCGGCGTCACGTGAAGTTCTAGCTTTTATTACGCGCACGCCGCCTCTGCGCGATTTTCTATGCATTGTAAATATTTTTTGTATACACGCCTTTTGTTATAAATATTAAATTTCACAGTGGTTTCGGAACTGTAGTCGTATACATTTCAAACTAGGCTCAAATTGTGCTACTGCAATGGATATGTAGCTTTGATATCTGTATAACAATAAATAGTATTGGACCGAATGTGTACCGCGTATTAAAACAATCATGAATGAGTGTATGAATATAGCTTAGTGAACTTGTGAACTTTATGATAATTTGTACCTAGTAGCTACCGATCCATAGCTAGTGTATAGATGTTAATTCTTATTTACGTTCGTGAAGACATCTGACAATTGCAAATGGATAACCAAGAGTGATTCATTTACTACCTACATACTACATAATGCTAAGTCCTTAAATCACCAGATTTCTGATTCCACAATGTCAAGTCTGGTGATTAACAAGTCCACAATGGCGGATCGTGATCGTCCTACAAAAAACCCCATTAGGGTGGGATTTTACGACATCGAGAGGACCATTGGCAAAGGGAATTTTGCCGTCGTTAAGTTAGCACGACATCGAATTACGAAGACTGAGGTAAGAAATGGAATTGGAAGTGGACCATATATCCAAAATATATTTCTTGTAGGTTCAGTTCACTTCAGTACATTTTTTGTAATGGATCACAATTGAATGTTACATCCACTTGGGTTAACGGTTTACTCTGGCGGGGCACCAGTGGAGGATCATAATGTGGGCATGAGGTCAGGTGAGTTTAGCCCATCGTCACAAATTCACCACAAATTTATCACGAGGGTTTCCAGGTAGAACCGTGTGGAGATCGAGTTGACATGGTACTTTGCTAGTAATGTAACTTACCCATGACCCATTGTTAGCAATGTATGGTACATTGCTAACAATGGGTCATCTGTCCACGTTGCTATCTCTCCCATTCAGTAGATTGAGTATTCGCACTATTAACCACAAACTGTTTTAGCCATTAAATTACCTGCATCCGTACTGAGACGTATGCTCATCATTTCAGCTTTATAACTACTTAATATATAATAAGCTATGTTATTGGTATGTACAGCTGCAACTGGTCTCGACTGTTTAGTCAAATAGTTACGTACATATGTATGTATATGTAATTCAATAACCTACCTAAGTGCAAATGCGGTAAAATACTTAATTAACAAAATAAGATGTCAATTCAAAATTAATGGTGGCAATCATTACAATGTAAGGAAAGGAAGAAAGAACGTTGGCTTCATTTTAAATGCCCTGTAGAAAAAATTACTGACGACAAAACGCGTAAAATTGTAACTGTAGAAAATAGGGCTTCCTTTATATCGGAAGAAGAAACTTTGCTTATTTTTATATTCCAAATAGAAAATGTATGGACATTATGGAAATAAATCAGACTTTAGAGAATAGGGCTTACTGATTACGATATAGGTCAATTTAGGGGAAATGGGTTTGTTAGTAATGTGGATTAATGAACCCATTGCTGGCAATGTATGGTGAGTTTGACCTCTACGAGACTCCCGCTGGAAACCACTGTGACAATTAGAGAAAAAACAAAATCATCGCTAGAATTAATGCTTTTCTATAAAAGAAAACCAACTGACCCACATAATTTCTTATCACTAAAATGCTTTATATTTTTAATTAGCTGTACACGCGACTTCGCTCGCGTGGAATATTTTATTTTTCTAAAATAAAAGTAACCTAAGTTACTCCTTATTACATCAGCTGCCTGCTAAAAAAAGTCTCGTTAAAATCGGTCCAGCCATTTCAGAGATTAGCCGGAACAAACAGTCAGACAGACAGACAGACAAAAATTGTGTATGAATCGTAAAAAATGTTATTGTTAAAAAAAATGATATTTTTGTGTATGTACCGTATTTATATTTATATGTATGTAGTAAAAAACGGTTATTTCAATATTAACCAAACCAAAACTCCAATTTTAATTATATGTGCCTATAGATGTATAGATTAAGTATACCTTTAGTCGGCAGCCATATAATAAGGTATGAAAATCGGTTTTACCCGCTAAATTCATGAAACATGCTAAAAATCGCAACTAAGATTCAGCTAAATCTTCCGGTTTACGAACAGTAGTAGTAAACTAAAAGAAATTTACTGTTCGTTTGCCCATTAAGTACCAATTACTAATTCTCTCTGTCAATTATTAAGTAAGACAGAAACATAACTTATATATATGTAAATATAAAAAACCCAACTTTACTGCGTTAACTGTGTGTTTACGCATTGAACATGTTTTGTTTTCGGCTGAAAATTTGCTACCTCACTAATTTATTACCAGTTTTTTCCTTCAAAAGCAACTGGTATCGTCGGAGACAAATTCATCAGCGCACTGATTGATAATGAATATGTCCTGTTCATGAAATTTCCACTGGAAATAACAAACTTCATTTAAAATAAACTCTTTCCATGCCTTTATACATTTATAGGTATTTGTCAGCAGTAGTCGGAGTGGTCAGTAAACCGGCTCTTTTGACCCTATATTTAATATTTTTAATACAGATTAGGTATACATTATATATATTATTACGTTACGTCAGTTGGGATAAAGGTACCAATCACAGAGGTAAGTCAAGAACAACATAAAAGTATTGCCGAAAATAAGTTACATGTGAACTCAACAATACGTTCAGAGAGATAACAGTGTAATGTTACTGTTGTTTTAACGTTAATCAGTTTATATTACTACAATGAATCACAAATATCAAAGTGGTTATTTATTTTTTATCTTTTGTACCAAAAATAACTTAATAAAATGAAAATATTATTTCCGATGATCATGATCGGAAAATATTATTTTTTAATGAAAGTCTTAGTATCGAGTAAATATAATTACATAAGTATTTCATTAAGAAAAGATGGTACAGGATGGTAAACTATTAGAATGACAACAACGACTTCGACTAACTAGGTAATTAAACAGTCATAATTTTAAAACACATGTGGCTCTGGAGTTTAAAGTCCGAAGTAATAATTATGACGAAATTACTAGTGTAATAACTTCATTAGGTAATATGGTAGTTGTTAAAAGAATTTAAAATGTTTAAAAAATGCCTAATCCCTCACGGCTTCAAAGCATCTAGTCATTTTTACTAGCTTATGATATTTTGTGAAGATATCTATTCAATTCAATTAACTGCATGTCAATTACGGTCAAATGTGGAAATTGTTGATCCCGAAAACATGAATTGTTGCAGGTATACTTCGTTCCAATGGAACTTACAAAAAACATAAATTAAAAAAAAACAATTAAGTGTAGTCAATAATATCACAAATGCATACACTGAAAGAAAATGGCATCACTTATCCAACTCCACGTATATATAGGTATATACATATATCACACCTTTAAGTGACTTGTATTTATTTGTATTCACTTTCTAAATTGTATTTCGAAATAGTGTAACAAATATTACTACCTATATCGTGTAGATCTTATTAGTGTGTCTTGTAGGTGTTATGGTTATATTTTAATGAATGATAATAGACTGGTGCAGTCGCCTGCGCTAACGGTTTAAGCTGGTGGGGCTCTAGTAGTGGTTGATGTAATGGGCAAGAGGTCAAATAAGTTACTCCATCGAAATAAATTCAACAAGAATTAACCACGATGGTTTACAGGGTAAACCGCGTGGAGGTCTAATAAATTGCCGGCAATGGGGTCACTAGTCCCAATTAATTAAAACAAACAAAAGTCTGCCTGAAGAATGTTAAAGCTTGCATCCAATGCGGGTAAACCAGGACTAAAGATAGCTCTCACAACTTTTATAACCGTAACGGGTTTTGAGGACAACTATGGTCGTAAATAACTTATATTTTTATCATTTATTAGTACTTAGTAAATAACAGTATAATTAAAACAGTTAAAGCACAAACTAAGTACTTTGTGCTTAAAGTAGGTAGGTGAGTATCTACTCATGAGTCCAAGGCACCGAAGTGGGTCAATGGCCGAATACTGTGGCGTCGTCGCTGAGAATGAGTCACTGATTGCATTTCTATGAACGACTTTCTAAAACATATATTCTGTATTGATAGGATCATCACTTTCTGCCCGATTTACTGCCTGACAGACAATGAATCGTCTAATCCTATAGTCTTGCTAGATCTATTTTTTTTATACGTATAAGTAAGTAAACCGCAATATTAAATTTTGCACAGAGTACAGTAAGCAGAGTTCACTTACACTTGTGCTCATTTAATGTAAAGTTAAATATTACTTTGCAAGAATTAAGTGACATTCCCGTTAAACATTGGTTACACAGCTCTTTTTCATTATAAATAATTATCAAGTTAATACAAACTAAGCAGGATCATATGTACTCAAAGAGGTGACGTCTTGGGAAATATTTATTATGCTTGTAGCCGCGTTGAATGAATGCACCGAAATAACAACAGTTTTATCTTCCCTGTTGCCTGTACGCGTTTATAATAAACTAGTACAGTACGGTACCACTGTAGTATAACTTGTATTAATGTTTATCTCAGAGGACGCGGACCACTAGTGTAATCATTAGATGAGATGAACTTAATATCCCCTAGCCAGACATGAAAGTTACAAAAGTAAGGCAGGTAATACGGAACAGTGGATTAGGTATGAGTATATTGTGTATCTAATATTTAGCGAGCAATTCGACATGAAGAGTCGATCGACGGCGGCGGCGTGCTACTGGCTGCCGCGTACCGAAATACCACAACATCGACCTTGCCTCCGGATGCACGTATTTTGTTTTTATTATTTTGTGTTTTCCCCGCCAACTGCTTTCATCAAGGTGATGACCAGTAACTTTTCTGTATTTGTTTAAACAAAAATACACGCTAAGTACATGTTGATATATAAAGTTGAATAGCTAACTGAGCTCTGAGCAAAAAACTAAAACGTGTGCTACGTACAAGTGTAAAAACAAACAACAAAAGTTAACCCGTAATACTAACTACATACATATAAAAATACACTCTCCCATACTATAAGGTTTGTATTAACACAAATTTATTAGTTAATAATTATGATGGTTGGCTCATCAATCCTGTACGTGTAGAGGTACTAGAGACAGATCTGGTGCCACTGGTTTGTATTTGACAAAAAAAACCTACGTTAATTCATCGTTCTTATTATCTATCCTAATTTCTCATTCCTTTACCGAATACTCGATATAATCCTAGAGTACATTATTATATATACTATAGATATATAAGAGTTGACGATGATATAATAACAAGTTAAAGCTCATAAACATTTTTATTTTCTAGAATCTTTTGTGTCTAATTCTAAGTACAGTATAAAGCCTTCTTCGGTATTTACTGTGACGTAAATGAGAGAATCAGGTAGGTATTAAGTAGGCAGTTAGGTACATGTACACCTACATGTATGTGTTTGTGTTAGCAAATCGGCATTCAGACTCGGGAAGCGTGATCGCTATATTAAATGTAATTTCGAACAAGTACTACCTAGGTATATTGCCAGGAAATTTTTCGTATCGCGTGCGTTTCGTTTACACTGCTTGCTTGAAAAACTGTATGTTTGACGCCATCTTGACGCAAATGCGTTATCT